CATTCATACTGGTAGACTGTGCTGCCAAGTCAACAGATAATTTCCGTAAAATAATTGGAATGTTTAGCTTAAACGGTGACGCCTTGTCCTTTTTAACTTTTTTAACATGGATCCAACTACCTACTGGGCTGTTACGAACCACTGTTGCATTCAAGGACTCTGCGCTAGGGGCCCTAATTTTGCCAAGGTAGTCAATTATCGTCAACGTCAATATGGTGCTGAGTTTCAGCATGTCATCACTAGTGCATTTACCTGCTCCAACGATGGTAGACGTGTCGATATCCCCCTTCTTGTTCACACTAAGCGTTACCGTTTTTCTACTCGTTGTGTGACTGTCATTTACCAAATTTCCGGACAACTTGTTCCTTACACCTGTCAGTCGGGCGATGATTTTACTCAGAAAAACTACAGTATCCGTGTTGCACACAACACATACCCACCTAAGATCCGACTTGCTGAGTCTGCTGTAGGCAGCTGCTGCGAGATCTGTGCACGCTTCATGGAACCAACCTTAGCAGATGTCGCGCTACATGCCTGATGTAACGGCAAAACGGTAACCAGGTCTTTTGCATGAATATTTCATGACCATATTGGTATAAACTCTCTTATAAATACAAACAGAAAGCCTAGGACCGTTAAAAGAAACACAGTACACTTAAACGGGCGAAAATGGATATAGACGGGTTGCGCAAAAAACTCAAGATAAACCGAATAGTAAGCTGAGGCAAAACTACAGTCAACTACAAAGTTGGGTGAAACTCAAAAGAAAGCAATCTACCGAACTTATAGCTCAGAATATATTTTTTAGATCAGAAATGGTACTTTTGTTGCGAAAGAACACAGCGAAAGTTTGAGAAATACAAATTACGGTAAGACCGAACTTCCCTTTGGGAGTCAACATTCGATTAAACACCATTTGACAAAAGATGGTTCGATAGTGTTTCGGTCATTTGTTAATATGATGTGATATACAACGATATCACTTCAAAGTCCGACTGAGTATATATAAATTTTTATGAAAACTTTCGTTGCGACTGGTATATATGAGTCTCACAGGCCTAGGAATTAAGAACAGAAAACATTTTCCTTCAGATATAAAAAGTTTATATGTTCTGAAGAGGTGAGATAGTGGACCATTCTTTTTAAACGAATCCCCTGAACACCGATAACCCGCTCGAACAGTCACTCAACTGTTTTTGTTAAACAAATTACCTCGTTTGTGCAAGAGCAGTAATCACAAGTCAACGATGGATTCAGAAGTTGTCCGAAGTTGTCCCTGTGCCAAACTTATGATGCACCAACCAGTACGAGCAGCCTAACGTCAACTGTGAATCCTTTATGATCCTCAGTGTAGCAGCTTCACACTAAGCCCAAACTATCCAGTCCAGGACACAAACATTAGCCTTCGCCGTGACTCGTATATCTCACACATACGTGGCTAATAAACAAACAGACCAGACTCTATCGCACTATAAGATGAGAAATAATAATCATATGGAATCTAGTCAAAAGAGTCTGTGAGTGTGAAGTATTGTAACTGATCAATTGAGAACATGTTAAGAATGGTAACTCGTATGACAGTAGCCAATAGGTCAAATAGAATCTTGTAGTAGTATCGTTCATAACCACACAATCCTCAAGGCTGAATGTGAGATAACTGGAAAAGCAGACATTCATAAATTAACTCGGAGAGAGGGCCGACACGGGAGAAGGTGGGAACATTTCATTAATTAATCGGATGGCATGACTCAGACTCGAAAATGTGGTCGTTCTGTATAACTTTTCTTTACTCACATTAAATAATTTATTCTATCCCGAGCCTTAATGTGTTCTTCAGAAGTACCACGTATCACATTGTTAATTGTCACAGTAAGATGAGTCAGTGTAGGGAGTGATGTGGCTTCCATATAAGATTTTATAAATTAGATCTCCACATCATGACAAACCTACAATTTTGAGATTAGGCCTATTATTATGGTGGTAATAATTAGACCATAATTCTACAAGCCCATGATAAAAGGAATATGGATATACATTTATAATCTAGCTAACTAATAACTATCCAATAAGAACATGGGTAAAAATTGCCCATAATAACCCCTTGTATTTACCATTCATCTGGGAGCGGTAAATAAGTCTGAAAAATAGATAATTCTATAAGTCTTTGTCATTTTATGCTGACCTCATTAATTTTAATGGACGCATTTGGCTGAAAGGTGATGCGCCATGCGATGCATCTCTTAGAACTGTTAGCCAGTTTAGTTTAGATGCCTTCCGATGTATACAGATAGCCTTTCAAATATATCTTCAAACCACTTAGATTCTGCCTTCTGATTTAATTGACTTGACGTACTTCGATTATAAAGGTGTTACATGTCAAACTCCGAATACCTGTGGCATCTTTTAGGCTGAGCAAGAAGTGATCTGGTACATGAAATCGTAAAATACTAGTTTGTTCCTCGTTGGAGCATTAACATCGTATTTTAATTTTTATTTCAACATATTGTGACATTTCATATTTCCGGGTTTATTTTCTCGTTCATTGGTATACTTTATATTTATCATGGTGGAATAGACTTGTAAGTTGTTTGAACCAATACCACTACAAAGCCTCCCACATTTCAGCTCATGCTATCATGGCCCGACGACATCGAAGCCTCATTCTGCTACGCAGAATCTGACTCCCACGAGTACAGCGTGAAAGATCCACAACTCTTCGAAGTGATGAAAGTACTACCGCACAATTTTAACAGGTATGCCACTCCCAATATGTTTACTAATGATGTTTCGGAACCTTACGGAACTTTAAATCAGGTCTATCCTTAAATGTGGAGACCTAACCGACCGACAAGGGCTAAACCAACTCTTCCACACCTTTAAGCCGCAATATGGCTCAGTAAGTGAAATGTTGCAACGAGTGCAAGAGGTCATTGGTCAACGAGCCTTTGTCGATGGTCTGTATAGACAGTTTTCTTCGCCTAAGCTTCCCCAACTGTGTAGGAAGTCCCTGCCTCATTTTAAAATAACGCCGTAGACGAACGGGCTGCATTTCTTCGACGGATTCCGGAAATCACTAGAACTCCTATCGCCGAGGTTTATTCTTTCAAAGAAAACCCTCAAACTACATGGGATGACGTCACAAACCTCTCTTACACTGACCAGCTCCCGAAATGCTGAGGTTGATCAGTGACGAATTCGACCACATGATAGATTTGAAAATCGTTCGGTCATCGAACAGTCAGTGAGAATCTACCTTGCACATGGTCTCTAAAAATACAACAGGACAGAGAATTGATATAAAGCGCTTTCGGTGGGAAACTCTCAGCTATGTATTGTGCTGTACGGTACCTTCAGTGCTATGCAGAAGGCCAAAAATTAGCTATGTTTGCCGGCGATAAGCATCTCATCACTTCTCTGAGCATGTCTTCCGACAAGTTTTCTTCTCCTAAGTCTTGACAACTGGATTGCATTTCACTGTTTTTTCCAGATATAAGACACATTTCTGAGGTACACAATGTTGTGATGGACACTATGTCTCGTTTAACTTCCTAGAACAGTATTCAAGACGTCCATCCACTTGAACACACTCAGCTTCGAAAAGAAGACACCGATCTTCACCGCGGGTTGCCTTTGACAACCCTGAAACTACAGCTCAAACTGATGAGATCAGGCAAGGAAACTTTATTATGTGACACATCTACAGGTAGGGATCGTCCAATCGTGACACAACGTCTTCAGTAAATTGCCCAATATTTCTCATCCAGCTGTTCGAGAAACCATTGAGGTCATCGCAGGGTGATTTTGTTGGCCAGATATGAATAGAGACATGAGGGAGTGGCACGCTTCTGAGTAAGCTGCTAGAAATCTATGTTGACCGCACAACGAATATCCCTTGAGCTTCTTTACAGATAGCAACGCTCGTTTTGGCCATGTTCATCTAGTTTAGGTAAGACCTTTACCTGAACCAAGTGGACTCTCTTACCTCTTAATGTGCGTGGACCGTTTCACATAATAACTGGAAGCAGCACTCACTAAGTACTTCTGAAGCACTGGCTCGCGCCTCCACACACGTGTAGGATATAACATAGGTGGTGCTAAGCATATGAAAATATGCAGTGCTATCTAGATAGTAACCATTACCGTAAGCTAGAGCTGGACCACCATTTCGTTGTACCCAGATAGTGAGGCTACTTTGATGACCATAGAGAACAAACTTGACGTCGCTGAAGATAATTATTAGTAGGAACTAGTCGGGAAACAGAGCTTAGCTATCAGAATAATAGGTTCATTCTTTATTTGTACTGTGCCATGATTTGACTACCTAATCTATCAGATACTACGTGGACCTTACTTCATAATATATATATATATATATATATATATATATATACTGACTCGTCTTACCGTGTAAGCGGTTGCTGCTAAGGTCTTCTGAAGATTAAATTTGGGCCGGGAATAGAATTGTATATTTAATCTTAAAACCAAGAGTTTGAACAGAATGGCCATGCCTGAATAACCAAGCTGTGGTATAAAAATTAAGTGTCCCTGATCATTCTGATCTTCTTTAAGCTTCAAATACAGAATACAAATGTTCTCGATTATCATATGTTCGGCTTTATCTGGGCGATTTCCATGCTTGTCATCTTTGGCCTTAACAGTTTTTGATAGACACTCATCTATCTGTTATTCTTTAACATTTACTGGTTCACATCGCATGAGTAACTGATTAATTGATTTATTCTGACTATCATTTCCGCTTAGCTGAAGTTAATTCAAATTTTATAGTTTTCACATCACAATCAATCATTATCTCACTCGGTAAGACGATAGACGACGGTTCTAACAACCTCGTTGCCTTAGAACCAACATACTTATAATCAGGAAATATGAACAATTTAGTTAACCATCGAATACACTAGGATTAATACGGTCCCAAATATATTAGATATTTGTTCGCCTATACCGTATTTTTAGGTCGTTAAGCTGCGCGTGGTTTGTGTATGGTGGCAACAGTAATGTCTGTGGTTGGAGAACGGAAAAAGACACCGAAAGGTTCACTTAAAGAGAAAGTGCTTCAAGTATATGATAAGCTGTTTCAAGGACAAGATATCACTCAAGGTAGAGCGGAATTTTGGGACGACTTTTTCCTACTCAAAGTAAATGTTTCATTATTTCGTTTCTTATGTTCAGCCCAATCTTAAGTGTTTGTCTGTACACTTTGAGAAAACAAGTTCAGAAGATCTCGTTAGATTAAAGGTTCGTCGTTTTGTCGGTGTTATTCTGTGATGCACTTTTTTTCATTTAACTGGATAGCTTCAAACTATTTCGAAACCTCTCATCTGACCACCCCGAAAACCACTGATGTAGGTGAGGTATTACCAACTGCTAACGAATTTCAAACTATTGGTGTTATGTAGTACATTCCAGTCATGTCTATTCGTGTCGATTATTCCATAACATGTATAAAGTTTAGGCCATTTCTGGTTTCTTATCATCGGTTTGAGAAAATATTAAACTAACCTAATCATAAGATTTTGTATTTGTATTAAGTTACTTTATATGGTTAAAAACAGAAGTGTACATGCATTCTGATGGCGTGGCCTTAAACAATTATCCTGACTATCGTCGAGTTGTTTTTTAAGTATTTTCAAATTACATTCAGCTGATTGCTAAAACTTTTGGGAGCTACTATTTTAAATTTTGTAAAATTACGTATTCTACCAACTCCGCTTCATGCGCAGCCTCCAGTGGTTGATGTTATTTTATTAGGATAGCTGATCATACTTTGCAATAGAAGCACCATTTACAGTAGCATCTGAAAAACAGGGGTTTACCAAATACAGTATTTTGAGAGTTTCGAATAATATGGATTAGAATTAATATTAAAACTAGGATTGGCGATTGGATCTACGGCAAAACTGTAATTTAAGGACGAACCAATCATATTTAAGGTCATGGACTTTGACTCGAATTTCATACACTCATTTGGTTTATTATCATTTTGGCACAGTAGCTGTTATCAGTTCTTGATGAAAACATCAAATCTAATTCTTAACCCTAAAGTTCAACTGTAAATAATAATTCTTCACACTAATCTATAACTTTCATTTATCCCTAGTAAGTAGGTGGGCATTCCAAGATTATTTTAGCGTTGCTCAAAGGTCATCCATGAATAATAGTCTCACCCTACTTTTTACTAGAACTATTTCACTCCAAGTATTCCTAGAAGTTGGTGGACGTTTAGTAGAGTTTATCCTGGAAATTTTGTCGATGTATTGGACTTTGTACCCAGGTTTATTCAGACCGGTTATTTAATGTCTAATTCAGGCCTTTATGTGGATGTATTAGTCCAATGTTTGATCGTCGAATTCCAATACATAGACATATCTATCGGCCATAGTCATATTTCTTAAGGAGATATTCGACTTCATCAAAGATCCTGTATATCATTAAAAGGATTGCCGAAGAAGTAAATAAATCTTATGTAGGCTCCCCTACTCGTACACTATTGGTCCAGTTAGAGCTTATGACGAATTGTTATCAGAGTTGTCGACCTCAAGTGATATCCGTCAGGATTACCTAACAACCCCACCCTATATTTGATTTCGCTATAAACATCCTGGAAATTACATCTAGTTTACAAGAACTGAACCCATCAAGAATTTTACTTATCACCTTAAATTAGGTGGTTGACGTGGTCTTATTTAGTGTGAACTCTGACATGCCTCTGAGTCTGCTACACGCGCTGAGTAACTGTTCAAAATAGTTTGAGCTAGGCATCTATCCTTCCACAAAATATTGCTTGAGAAGCGGTCCGCGCTATCGCACAAATTGATCGTAAGGGGTGGAGTAGAGTGTACTAACAACTTCACTTATATTTTAAGTTTGATTAACCCTGGAAGTTGTGTCCAACGAAATCCCAGCACGGACTCAGAAAGATAAATCGGCTTTTGTCGCCTTGTGTAGACGGGACATCAACCCTCCAATCAAAGAGCAAGTATACTGTGCAATAAGCGTGCATAAGCGACCTGTTTTCTGACATAGATATCTTCGAATCATTTTTGGTATACATTCAGACTACTAAATGGACAATTCTATGGTTAGTCATGGAGTACTAAAAAAAACGGGAAACTAGTCAGTGAAGTTGTAAATATTCATCAAATTCGGTAGTACAAGGATATGTTATGTATCCACAGCCAGTACCTACCTCAATGTGTCTTTAGCTGATGTAGGAATAGGTTGGTAGGAAGCTAGAGCCAATCAAATCAGTGCTTGATAACGGCTCATGTTATTGATTGTTAGTTTTGGGCTGTCGTGGCAGGTGCAGAATATCTGGTTAAGGTCGTGCAATAACTATAATTAGTAGTTAAATACTTTAAGTGACATGGCATAGAATCAGAACCAGCAACTAATATTTTAGATATTACACTAGTCAAATTGATTTTTTTGTCTATCACAAAATATTTCTAGTTTTTTTTATAAAGTGAGACCATCAGAGATCAAAATTAGTCAGGTGGATTTACGTCTAATTCCCAAGCTATTGCCAGTATTTCAGTCAACTTAACTAAAATCGGACCACTATTCTTAATTACTTCTGTATTTAACCTACTAGGATTACTGCTTTCCGTTTTTTAGGTTAAGTATAACCTCTTCAATCTCACTTAACATTAGACTTTATCAATTTCCGATTCATATTTCTCAGAGATAGTGGGTAATTGGGGCGTAGCTGGATACAATTTAAGCTGTTCTTTAAAGTGTCCTGCACTTTGTTTTAATTTCCTGAACTGAGTTGGTAGTAATTTTGTCCTCTCACTAGCAACCGGCTTTTTCATGGATATTTCCCCAATAATTCGGAATATTTGTCTATTGATAACATTCGCCACTGCCTTTCCTATCCCCTGCTTTTGTTTTCCACCAATACTCTCTACCATTGAGTAAACTCTTCATTAGTTTATATCTGAGTTGTCTCTTCTCACCATCTTCTGAGACTACCAGGGTGAGTTCTTGGGCAGCTGTCAATTCAGTAAAGTTTCAGAAATCCACTTGTCTTCCTTAACCCTTTGATTTAATTTGGTTACAGTTACTACTAGTATATTTACAGGTGTTTAGATATCATACAAAGCTTCAGAATGAACTTCTCTAAGGTCGGATAAGTCCTTAGCTGATTTTCCTCCGCATACATTATTGATCTTTCCTCCTTTTAGATTAATATATAAGGGGTTTTCCTGTTAAGATTTTCAGACGTCTGGTAGAAAATATCGAAATGCGCGTTTTTACCAAATTATGATCAGAGTCTAAGCGTATTCTGCACAACTAGCGGGAGTTTATCATTGAGCCTCTCCAAAGATATCTGGTAGCCATATGGTTCATTTGTATCCATCGTGTCTACATTTTGGGCAAGGGCAAGGAATGGATAGCAACGTGTCGCTCTTTTGAGTTTACGATTAAAATTGCTTCAGGTTTTGCTAATTGTTCATCTCACCTTGTCATGCATTTATGTTTCTCTTATTATACAGGGCTGCCTAATCATTACTTTATGAATTCCTTTGAGAAACTTAAGCACTATTTCTGTGTTGTTTCGTATGAGTTTAATATACGTCTGACTTTTTTGTAGGTTCTTAGTTTAAAAAGTCTTGGCAAACATTAAAGCCTGTGAATTAACCTTTAAGATAACCTTGTTGAAGACGCTTTCGTTTTTATTAGACTGGTTGATATTTTAACTTGAAAGTCACTTTTTATTTCTTAGCCTCAGCTCAACAGATTGTTTATACAATGCCTTCAAACAGCTCAGTATGATGGACATCGCATCCGAGTTGCCAACGCTATTCAGACATTAGATTGTTTACTGAGTGGCGTTCACAAGTGTAGATCATCAAATGTAAATGAGGAACTAAGTGCGATACTTTTAGGACCGGAGCATGTTAAAGATTTTATGGAGGTTAGTTGATGAAGTTCCACTTTTATTGAGATCCTCTTTTTTGAGTGTGATTCGTTAGAAATTACTAAGTAAACGCTATTAAAGTGTAAAACATTAGTCTGTTCTGTTTAATAAATATTAAATGCTTGAACCAGCAATTGTCTCACTGCAAATATATATATATATATATATATATATATATATATAAGACAAACTTCAGGTTCAATGTCATAGGTTTATTCGATATAATTACTGGAAAGATTACTCGAATAATATGAAAAATATATCCAACTGGTATCATGGGACGAATAATGCCCAAGTTCAACTTTTGAGAAAAACATGCAAAGGATTATTATTTGTATTTTGGTTTTATAATTAGTAGACGCCTTGAATGTTAAATATTTTTACTCTTCTATTCCCAAGCTTCCGTCCGATCCACAAATCGGTGTTAGGTGTTATTATTCCAGATTTATCGTCAATTGATTGTTCCCCTTTACCTCTGGTCGTTCATCACTTGTAGCTAGTGTATGTACACATCATAAATTTCTAGTTGTGTTACTATGTGATCAGATATTTCAAGTATATTGTATGAGTCTTGAGTCATAATTGAACTGATTACAATAGAGAACTGATCAACTTTCTCTTTTCGTCTTTTCATTGGCTAGTGGGTTAGAAGGAGCTCGAGGACTAATAAGCGTTAACGTCCCTTTAAGGTATGGAATTACTATCGTTCCAATCCATTCTTTTCGGCTTTCTTCCCCTTTATCTTCTCGACTTTCTCTATTATTTCGTTTGTAAAGTCCCTAGGATAACCATTCATCACAATAATGAACATTACCAAATTAAACTCAGTTTCTTTGTCATTCGGTTCTGTGAGGAGTTTCAGAACTCTGTTTATCAAACTCTTAACTATCACATTTGTAGAAAAGCTATGTGCTGACTTGTAATCTAGATGTTCCTAAGAATATGTTGGCTTTCGGAATATATTGATTTTTTGAAAACCGTCATGTTTCGTTTTAATCAAACAGTCAAGAAATGGCAGTTTTTAGTAAGCGTACTCGATCTCTTTAGCAAATCTAATGGCGTTAGGTATACTGTTAGCATTTTAAGTAATTCATCTAGTTTATAATGATAAAGATGTCATCTACACATCTCAAACTAAGATGATTAGATAGGTGTTAATGAGTGATATAAATATAGAATTTTTTTTCCAAATTTTTAACAACCTAATCAGTGTATGTTGTAATGTCTAAAAAGTTCATAAACTGGCTTGAAGTCGTTTCCAATATTGGTTTTATCCATGCAATTCAATTTAAAACACCACGATTTATAAATTCATAGTAATATCAGTATGATTTTTTTGTTTATGGCTTACTAATAATATAAACAGGCTACTTAATACTCCATTTTTCTTTCTTATTTATAAAAATTGCGAAGTAATAGATACGCACGACAATAATCTTCAATTTCAACAAATCATTAATATCTCAGGTTTTGTAATATTTCTTGAATACCAAGTCATGGTTTTTCATACAGTAGGTAACCTTTTACCAATAATGAAGTGATCAATTTATTCAACATTTTTCCTGCATTGTAAGCATAAGTGATGGGATTCCATAAGCGCTTATAATTAGAAAAAAGTATAACATTTAAAAAGGTCTTGGTGGCAAATGCTTGTTCTTGATTTTCATTGTGGACGTTCGATTATGTATTTTTGGGCACAGTAGCGATATTTATGTCACCATCTGGAAGTACAAACTTCGTTTGCTTTGTCATTTTTCATTAATTTTATCACATCAGACAATGCTTACTAATGCTGAGGCTGGGTGGTGCAGTCTAAGAGATGACTCGTGGTATGGCGGATAGAGCTGTATATATCTGGTATCTGCCGGTTCATCAGACCCCTCATTTACGGTTCTGGAGGTCGTGGAATTCAGTAGCATGCGACGTTATAATACACGGCTCAAAATATAAGCCAATAGTGATAGTGTTGGATTTTTCTAATACAACGTTCATACAAATAAGAGGAATTCTCTTAACCGAAAGAAATCTTTCTTCTCTGTATTCTCAACCGAACTGTGTCTCTTATAACGTGCTTTTATTGTTCATTTATTTATTTGTCAGTTTTATTACTCTACCCTTCGTTATTTTTTCACATCATTGCTTCACATGTGTGGGAAATTTTTCGTGATCTATTGTAGCAGAATTTAGGAACATTAAATGAATGAATATAATTTACTTTAATAAGGATTTCTTACCGCCTGACTAGTGTTTGGCCTTTGTGTTGTTTTCACTTGTTAATCCATCCTTTCTTGTTTACCAAATCCATGTCTTTATGTTTCTGTAATATGAATAAAGTACCTTGTATTAAGCAAATGATTTAAATGACTTCGTAACTCGTTTTATAAATCTATCATATGTAGAACTACATTTCTCTATGCGTTGAACTAGTCCGAGAAGATAAACCAGAATTACTTCGTAGTCTTATGTTCAATTCAATGATGACATTTGCTTCGGTAAGTTAAACAGTAGAATTACTATTACTTATTCATATTCTATCATGAGATTTTTTCCATATGTAAAGAATCACTTTTAGTGTATATATATAAACATTCATCACTTAATTCAAATTGAGTTGATCTAATTTTATACAGGTGATAGGAAAATTAGATTGATCAAATCGAATTTTAATAAATTGCATCAGGCATTGATCTCAGTGAGAGCAACCAATAAAAGCTGGGGTGCACTTGATAGCCGTTTCGTCTTATTATAGGACCCCTCGGTGGTGCACATCGACAAGCCCACTGCGGATCGAATCCCATGACTTTTAGTCTCACGGTTAGCACTTAACCTCTGTACCTACCTCTGAGCCAGCATCCAATGGTGTACTTGTCTAAATTCAACCAACTTACGATATTGGACGACCATCTCCCATTGCCTTAACTGGATAACTTCCTCACATCCAATACGGTTGAACTTCACTGATCATGGCCTCTAACTAAAGCTCCAAGAATTACGTCTCAAAGCTATTCACTAGTGAATACATGGTCATTATTACCATACGAAGTTAACAAGCTAAGATCAGTATTCAATGTATTCTATGAAACCTTGACAACCTCCGCGAACTTCCTACAGTAACAAAGTGAATCTGTTAGTTAACAAATGTTATTTGTCAACTTATGATCTTCGTATACGTTTAAATAGATTTATTTTAATCTATCTGTAAACATTTAACTAATTATAATACGATACATTTCATTTTTATAGGTTACTTCATCTTTGAACAAAAATCCATTTATTCCTATTCTGTTAGATGACCGTATTTATGACCTAATCATGAATACATTGATCAATCCCCAATTAAGATATTATCATGGTGTTACTGCATGCAGATTTCTTGGTTTACTATTACAACATACAGAACCTGATGTAAGTTATTTATTCTCAATATGATGAATTATTTTTTAATGTACCACCATATTTTTTCATTTGGATAATAAGAAAACATTTACAATTTCTATGTTGCTTACTATTACCGTTTTCTACATTGAATTGTATAGTTTGTTTTAGATAGTATTGTATAAAGTCTAAAGGTTTTTCACAACTATGTTATTTTGTAAGATATTATTTAGTCTTTTGAGTTTCTTTTTTTATTGTTCTTTGACCAGTAGTTGTAAATAGCATTAATGAAGCCAAACTGTGGCACGAATCTGAATATATGGTTCTATACTTGGTTACTTTATTTAACTAAGTTATCTATTTCTTGTATTCATCACATATTGATTTCAGTTGGTATATCATCTAAAACTGGGGAGTACTAAACAGATGTTTTGTCCTAGTTTGTTGAGACTCTGCATTATTCACTCATGTCCCCATCAAGGATCGAACCCAAGACCGTCAGATTTAGCAGTAAGCACTTAACGACTATAGCCGCTGAGTTGGCATCTTATGGTACAACCCAAGCTTCCCATGATAGGACAAAACAGATGTCCATGGTTTCCTGGTTTTCAACTGTATCCTGACTAAAATTAACTTACGATGAACACAATGTACAAACTAACTAGATCTTCACAACATCCCTTTAACCGTTATCTGTTGTTCAGGAAGACGGCTCAGTATAAATAAATGAAACCGATAGATTAAAAAAATAATTTTTTCTGGTTGGCGTTTTTTAGCAAGGTTTTTCCTTTCAGTATGCGATGGCTAGCCTTAGGTCCGACCCACCTCCTTTACCTGGGCTTTGAACCGGCACTAACCTTCTAAGTTCTCCAGACAGGTTAAACACATTTTTATTTATTCGATAGCTTAGATATAGGTTGCTGCATATTGTAGAACAGCATATAAATCCCAGACTTAGTTCTTCTTCAGTCTATATATCAGTTATGATATAATTTAAAATTGAACCGATAAAATGATCATGTAATCGTTTGTTTTTCTTTATTTCGCTATTTGAGTATTCATCAAACACTTTTGGATAGAGATTTCATAATTGTAATATCTAACGAAAAGTTCGACCTATTGGTTGTACTCTTTTAAATCCTATTGCCTCAATTTTAATATTCTGAGGCGAATATAATTTCATGAAGTTATTTTTCATTCAGATAATCCACTGCTTATGCTTATTGAATCTCCCCTAATTATCCATCGGTTGAATGAAATTGTGTGTAGTTTATAAAGAATTTTCGTTCTGCTTTCTTATTACAATAAATAATTGTGTGTTGTTTTCTGTTTATCCGACCTGAATACTGTCATAATCTGCCTTTATAAGACCCAGCTACTCTTATTGCTTAGCATTCTTTGAACACTACTTAACTCGACCAGTCCCCAAGTCAGAACACGGTTGAATAAAAATGAAATTATGTTCCAAATAAACTAAGTTGAGTGAAAATAACAATCATAGTAAGAAAAAGGTTAGTATATCTAAGATTTTACATGTGGCTTTAAAGTCTTCTCCAATTATACACTAGCACTTATTGGCTAAGAAATGGTCAGTCAGCATAGTCCAACACAATCCTTCAAGGAAGGTACTTTAACATAATCTACGTCCTGCTAATAAATACTTTGTTTTTGTTTCAATTAAACTGAATACTCGACGTCCAGCCATCAATGAATATAAGTAAATATAAACAAACAATGAATATTATCTTATAGACACATTAAAATTGTCATTTTTGTACGGTGCTATTTATCATGATTATAAATAATCTTAAGAATGTTCTGTATCTTCATTTAACTGTTTGTTTGTTTGTTTGAACACATAAATATTGGTACAATGGGGCACCAGATATATATGCTCCACACAAAAAAAATGTCATTTCATTTAATTGTGTAAGGGCTATGATACTGCCCGGATGCCCAGACCAAAGCAGATGTGTTATTTAACACTTTTTATCTAAAAACGTAACAAACCAAGTTACATTTTAAAAACATGAAGTTCAGCAAATGGATCTCTTTTCAATGAATTTATTATCAAGCTGTGTTACATTTTATCAAAGATATCTCTGTTCAGTATAAATTAATTACATCGACTTTCATTTTACATAACAACAATATCATCACAATAAATCATTCATTCATAGCCAACATAGAGCCCGATGCAAATATACATTAGCAGAACATGTTATGCTACACTAATACATCTAGATAAAGTTATCATGATTAATATCAAAGTAGTCGAATTAGTAATCGTAATAATGCACTATTTTGTAGGATTGGAACTTGTGTCACTCAGCATAACAGTTTTCAACCACCTAGGATATGCCAGGGAAGTCCTACTCACTGCCTTCTCGTGGCGGGGGTGTTGTTTACGAAAGTGAGAGGACGAAAAGCGAATGTCCGGCGCTTTAAGCGGGTTGGTGGACATGGAAAGTTCACCTAGGGGAGTTGGAAAACCCTGATTCTAAACCAATGGTGCACATGGGCTCCAGTATCCTGAGGAAACAAATGGCGTACGAATCAACCGTTGATCACCGGCTACCATGGGACTGCATCTCCTCACGATGCTCCACTGCCTTGTGGATTAGACATTCAGGTCAAAGGCTCCGGGTGTGGCCCCCTAAGAAAACCACCTGCTTCAGTCTGGGCACCTGTGCAGTATCACAGCCCTCACACAAATCGAATGAGATTTGTGAGGCGCATATTTATCTGGTGCTTCCTTGTACCAATATTTATGTGTTTAAATAAAATAAATAAATAAACCTAGGATCGTAACCAATAAATAATTCAATGTTTTCAAGGAATTAGAGATAGTGTGTCCATACACTTGATTTGATTTGTTTTTTCTTACTAGCATATCTGAACCTACTGTTTTACTTGATATTTCATGAATTTTATTTTCTTTATAGTCACTGAATTTATTTCAAACATTAATTCAACAGACAGAAGATGAACTGTTGTTAAATGTAAGTAAGAATTTACTACAAATTATTTGTAAATGGCATAAACATAAACTATATGACATGTTCAGTGGGGTCAGATGAATGATTTAAATTGGATTGTCGATATCCACTTTGTGTCTCGTATCAATTAGATGGACCATTATAGAGCTTTTGGTTGATTTTAATCATCTTTTACTTAACCAGATAGATCGATAGTTGGATATTAGAGGACGAACTAACTGTGTACCGAATATAACTGAATCCACAAGGGTTAGATTGATAAGTCTACATGGTTGGGGTGAATTCAGGAATTTTGTCTTTATTTCCGGTTCTAACGACTGGTTGGTTGTAGAATAATGTGTACAGTTTAGCTACAGTGAATGTTATCCACAGACATTTTTTTGTCTGTTGTTATTTCACTGATTATTTCGTTTAAGAGGTGATTGCAGGAATGCAACTTTCTTAGGAACTGTGAGTATGTCTACCTTTGTCAGTCTCTGGGTTATATGTTTATTGGTAAATGTTAATGAATATTCTTGTTGACCAACTTACGGATAGTACGTAATTCCTCTTAGAAGGTTACATCTGTTCTGTTTATCTCGTGTCTAAGTACATCATTCATTAGTGTTGTCAAAACGTAGCAAGCGAAAAGTGGGCCTAGTGGAGATACAACTTGAGTCCCATTCGGTTATCTGTAAAATTCCTCGTTAAGTTGAAAATGTACATTCAATGTGCATCTGAGAATTTCGAGACCAAAGGTTTCGGGTTCTGTTCCTGGATACGAGGTCGTGGATAGAAACTGCAGCTTGAAGAGTCACACATACTAAGAAGAAATGGGTGTCCAGTAGTTCCAGGTCTTCAGTGGTGATCTAGCTAAGATCCGTTCATGGTATAAAGTTTTTGAAAGTTCGATTGTTTCCACAAAACCCCATACTGGTCTATTTTTGAAATTGCTCTACTGTCCTTTGGTATTTAGCATTGACTCTATACCCCATTGCACAAGCAAGTGGCTATCAGGGCTCAGTAGCTAAGTGGATAACGTGATGGCGTTTGAAGCGAATGGTACTGGGTTTGTGTACCGGGATGAGTATCTCAACTCTGGGATGCAGATGCATCCAGCCGACGAGTCTCAAATAGGATGGAACGCCCGTCCTGGATTCCACTGCTAGCCACTATCCATCTTTGCTTATGTCTCTATACTTAGTTGTAAAAAATATTGTAGAGCTATGACGAATAAATAATTGAGAAGAAGCATCGTACAAACAGTTCTCTTTATTATCTTAAAGAGATTAAGAACACAGAATTCGGTGGGATAACATGAATTCGTTTTACTTCATTAGATTTTTATCAGCTGCTTACAACAACATGTAATATTTAAAAACCAAAGTTACAAAATGGGTTGGAAGTATCTAAATTATATGTATATATGACAATTGTTTTGTTGTATAGGCGTATTCTGCTACTGATATTCAAACTTCCTCTAACCAAGTCCAACTAGACACATGGACGAGAAAACTAAAAGTGAGCAGGAAACTTTATTATTGACTAACCGAATCGAAAATACATGCACGATCAATTCGTAAATATCTATATCGTTCGAATAATTAAGCCGCATTTTCAACCAATAGTGTATTATTGTCTTCTTAGAAAGTTAAGCGAAATATTTTATTCAACCATTCGTATCTCACTTATCATTTTGTCTACATCTGATCAACCCAGCGCATCAAAAACAACGATCTAATCATGATAATAATATTAAATTTCCTTCATTATCTTCAGAGTATACTGTCTACTGTCGCTCTCGCATTGTCCGAATTTAACTTGTGAGTTTAACATGTAAACATTACTGTTGAATAGTTTTGTTTTTGTAGATGTTGACTGGCAAATGCTAAAAATGATTTATTAATTGTTCAATATTATATCATTGATATGCGATGGTCTAAATCTTTAGGAGATCAACCTATTTAACTCTTTCTTACTAGTTATCTTCATTTTAGACCTCTGTTTATTCCTCTCTGTTTCTGTTCTATCACCTTTTTGGGTATCTTTACATCTTCGGTTTTCTAAAAGCCAATGGTTATAATTACTATCGACGATGAAATTGATAGGCAGAAAAGTCTATTAAAATCATATCGGTTTTTATTCAGTCCCTACTTTGTTTTCTTTATCATGTTTTGAACACTAGTTATTTATAATTTTTTTATATTACAATGTAGAAAATTTGGACAACAACGTGACAATTCTGGTGGTATTCTATCTTCTTTTTCATCTTTTGTAAGTCATTATTTCTTTCTTTCTGCCGTATTTTTGTGTGTGCACAAATTTTATTCCAGTACACTTCACATGGTTTTCTTGGTTCATCGTATTGTATATTTCAATTATCTAGACTATACTTAACAGATTATTGCTTAGACAAACTGTCTAGTACGAGGGGATAACGCAGTGGTGAAGACATTGTAAGATAATCCTCCCCCGCCTCAAATCCATTCTTTGGCTGGTTTAATTCGAATTTTTGGGAAATAAAACATTTAATCTTTACATGGGTACTTAATTTTTTCATTTTTTTAAAAATATACGGAAGACATTATAGTGAGTATAGTTGGTGAGTCAGTCACTCATAATCAATGTGAAACATGGCATTGTATATTGGTTCAACTATCCACACTGCATTAGCACATTAAGATTGCATTGCCGAGGTGAATCTTAGAGTATTACAGTTAAGCAGTATTCATGGCCGTTAAAAATGATTCAGCATCGGAGATACGAGTCGAAACGAGTTATGGATTACTGGAACGAAAAAAATATTTATAAGGTAATTTAGAAACGTAAGATCTAGAGAAAGAAAATGAGAGACTGAACCTGCCCCATAGGAACGATTTTTAGTCATATCACCCAAAGTTTGTAACCATTGGTTACAACAATCACACGGACTCCAATCATGTAGTCTCCATCCACTTACCTGCATCTCTCAGTTCAACAGTTAGTGAATCTATGTGCACTGTCTCGATCGATCGTTGTTTCTCATTTCTAACTGTGGTTTATGAGAATTGCACTGACCCCAACCAGGTAGTCTGTACCTACCTACCTACATATTGTCAGTTTTTATAATGATGAATATCATCTTCAAATATTTCATTTGGTCTTGTCCTATACATGTATATGTATATTTTTCTTCTCCTCATACTATTAATTCAGTTCACTACTCTGGTCTCCGGTGATGTTGCATCAATTATTAGTTTAAGGTAAGTAATATGGTTTAGACAAAGATGTCCAGGTAGTAACTTACTTCAGTGACATATCTCCTTTATGCTTCTCACTTATCACTGGCCTTGTGGGACATGATTTTCGCAATATCTAACATCTCAATACTCATCTAAACCTCCTGCTCCTCCCTCTTAAAATGTTTTTTTCTCATTCTGTTAAGCAAAGGTTATACCAGTCATTATTATTACATTTAGACATTTTTCAAAGGTTTTTTTCGTTTTTATTCTAGAAATTTAAGGTTTGGTATTTTAGTTTAAATATTCACAGCTTGACTGTTCTGGTATAACTTTAAATCGCCTAGACTATCTTCATTGTTTTGTTAGTTATCTTTAGCTCGTGCAGAACAGGTGAAACTCAAGGTGGAAAGCCTATTATATATACATCTATAGTTTATGTGTCTTATTGGTATTTGTACGTAGATTGTTAAATATCTCCTTTGACTTTGAAAGTACTCTCATGAATAAACTGTTGAACCTTTTTTTCCATGCGTTTCAATTTAATTCAGTAAAACTCATGTCATCAAATAGCCCTGTTCCATCACCTGGTAAATAAGTTTTTCCAATAGGTAACTAGTTACCTGTAATATTGATCATGATCAACAAATATTATGCTACACTCTTATCTATTTATTCATTACTATTCTTGATGTGAAACGCCACCATTCAGGTGTTTACATTAAAGACTTGTCGACTGACAACTACTGTGTACTGTTTTCCCTCTTTTTGAAATAGTTTTATGCAATGTAGCTAGTAGTCATAAACCAATTGACAGTAAAACAAATTCATTATGATTATCATTGTATTCGTATGTTCTTGAAAACAATCTGATCCAAATATACATTCAAAGTCATCTGCTAGACTATCGTTGCTAAACTTAAATCACTAATATTTTTATAGGATTCACGCAAGAAAAATCTCGTATATACATGCGATTAACTGATGAAATAATCATTCAGCTGGTTCTGTGATATGTGCTACTTATGTCGAAAGATATAGGTAGTATGTAACGCTAACCGAAGTGGAAACCCTGGCAGCATAAGGTTAACATGATCAAGTTGACGTGAAAACAAGGACGAAAATAGTAGGGATTTGTGACTTGGAAGAATCATACAAGATGTGAAAGACAACTGTTGGAAATTTGCAAGTGAGATATTCAATTTGCGGTCCTCATATTTTACCAAGAGATTCTGTAATTCTGTATTGAGATACATTGGTCGTTCCCACCTGAGTTTTCGTTCACTGCAGTTCAAGTAATTTTATTGTTTATATGACATACTGACTGTAAATAAACACAACCAATTAAGACCAAGAAGCATTGACACAGCTGTCTCGCCTTAAGAATATACATCCGGTAATTTACATTCTCTACTTTTCAATCAGTTCACAACGTTATGCTGGTCTCTCTTCATCATCATTTATGTGTCTTAATCTCGATGTAGATAAATTTCACCTGTTACAGCTTATCCTAATCATCCCAATCAATTGAGTTTTCTATAGTACTATTAATTAACTTCTCCTCTCTATACACCACCTTGCTTATTCACTCATTGGTTCCATTATGTGCGAGCTAAGTCTTTTACCTTCATAGTCCATTTTTCACAACCATAGAGCAACGCAAAATGAATGGTTGCATAATGTAGTGTACTATAATTCCCTATAGTTCTCTAGTGTAATATCAGTTAGTGATTAGGAATCTAATCTACTCGTTCATCTTGAAAAATATCTTTCATGAATGACTTATATAAGTTTTTTATTCATTTATCTCAATCCTTCTTTACTTTCTTTTGTTTTCATCTAATCTCAGACCATGTGATTCACTTTTGCTATGTCTATATGAATTAGCTAGAAGTAGTCATCATTTCGCTATACTTCTGTCTTATTCTAATGGTCATTATACAAATAATTCAAGAGATTTAGAAAGCATAATTGTTCCAGATCCTATATTCGGTAAGTTGACATTTTGTGTGTGTGTGTGTGTACACATCTGTTTCGTTTTATTTTTCTCCTACTTAATACATTTCTTTTTTTTAACTGATGATATAATAACAACTGAATCTTACAGAAAATTCACTGAATGTCATTAAATGGAAGTATTATTTGTGGGATGTAGTTTAGTTGAGAAATCAACATTTAACTCTGTTGGTTAATAATAAGATAGGAGTTTATGAGCCCTAGAGTTAATTCATATTGTTACATGACCTGAATAATCATGTTGATTAGTATATTGCCTATAATTGAATCAAGCTACGTGAAATTCGTAACTTTTTCCCAATTATGTTTCAAGGCTGATTAGAAATGTTTATAAAGAAGTCAGGTGGTAACTTTTAGGATTGATGTAGGTCAGTAAGGCACAAGATTCTAGTAGTAGGCAGTCATATTTGTCTGAATTATTTAGAGACCGTAATAAGTTACAGTTACTCATAATTATATCAACTACTTATCGTTTCTAATGCGTATCATAGTATTTCCGGAAACCTCTACTGTTTGTCACTGAGATTCGCATAAGGAGGCTTTCTTCCTCAGATGTCTTGTTACTGAGTGAATTCGTTTTGCGATGCTTATATTTTCACAATATTAATAATGTAATTCATTTACCCGATACAAATTTATACACGCTATCTTGAGCTACATTGTGCGAGAACTTGTGATACCATCCAGCTGATCAAACAATGGGAGTTGGCGCTGCATTAAACTTAATATTTGTTCATTGAAATTTGAATGATTGAACTGCTAAACCACTGCTCCTTACAGTTATAATACTTTATTAATGAAATAAATCTATAGTACTTAGTAAGTGACCGTTAGACATAACATGTTAGCATACTTATGTTTCATCAATTGACCCATTATAATTTAAATCTATGAACGTTTTTGTAGTTGTTATATAAAGTGAGATATTCATTACTGTGTACTTTGATTTTTCTGGAAAATATGGATTCGTGTTTACCTGTTATTGATATTCAGGGTGAAATTTTTTCAGTCTTTGAGTGGGTGCCTCTATATTATCTGCTGTCAAAAGTTAATCATATTCCAATGTAGCGACCAGAAGTGGATGTCTTTAAGGCATATTTCTTCCTAGTTGCGACTCATCAACCAGACTCACCTGCACCCAGATGGTAATGTTTACACCGTAAACTAAACTCACTGCCTGTCAATTCACAAGAACCACCATACAGCATTTCAGGTGCACCCAGTTAGTGAATCCTATTTAAGACGAAACGTGTGTTCTAGATTCTAGTAGTAGTTATTTGTTGAGGATGCTAGATTCCCAGAACTCACTTGGTAAATGTCTTATTTTTGTAATTTTATTTTGGGTATTTGAATTTCTCGTTTCCGCTCCAAATGCTCTCATTTTCACCCTTATATCGTATTTCCGACTTGGGAGGACCTTAAATGTCATTCATTCGTTGTCTTTTTTAATGTGCTATTTTGTAACGTTTCTCAAGGACACTTTTTATGCTTGCTGCTTGTGGAATATATTTTCCCTATTCTGACCTGGAATTCTCTTTCCAGTTAGCGAGGTTGAGACGCATTGGAATAGTCAGCTTATACAGTAATTGTGTCACTGAGTCTTCGTTCCGTTCGCAGATTAAGGTGATCTAGTAATCTTTTCAAACATGGCATTATTTATCCAACAAATCTCGCTTAGTGTTTTTTTTTCAATATTCTATCCTATCGGTTTAAATACAAAATTACCTTAAAGTCTGCTGTTACAATCATTATATTCATTGAGTATTGGAGTAATTAGTTAAATTAATTTATATTTATTACACATAGAAATTAATGGTATGTACTCTTTCTAACTTTTTCTATACATCATCGTATTTCGTTCAACCTGTTCATGCTGTTCACTGTTCAAATTGTTCTCGTTACAATTTTTTTCTTCAATAATTCTCCCATTCTATTGTAAACTACAGATGAACCTTTATTCTTCTTTTAATACAATATGTGTATATTACGTTACCATAGTTGTAAAAACTCACCCAATGAATAGTAGCATGCAAATTTCTTAAATAATAACCTATTTAAAGAAATACAACATAATCAATGCTTTCAGGAAAATGTTTATTCATTGTTCATATAATATTCAAATGATTGTTAATTGGATGATATTTAATTTGATGAAATGAAACTATGTGTTTGTGGCAGTTTTTAAGTGATTAGACTAGTTATTATTGTAATTGTTATAGCGCTTAATTGTATGATGAAAATACATCACTATTCAGTTGGTTAGACCTGATTACAGTATGTCTATCTGTTTTGTTTTGATAGGAGCTGAATAAATAGTATATATATATATATATATATATATATATATATATACTTGGTTATGAGTGATTATCTAAGTATGAGGATGAATGATAGATACTATCTATTTGACCAAACCAAAGAAGCCAATGTGGAATTTGAACCAAGAACTTAGTGGCTAAAAGCCAAACGTCTTAACCACTAAGCCTCCATAAAAGTTTTCAATTAAAAAGATATCAGCGAGATACTCATTAACTTTTGTGTTTTTGAAAGAGAAATAGATTGTCAGTTATTTGAGAAAAAATTCGATCAACCCCTTTTCTATTAATAATAATAATGTGCTCACTAGTGACTGGATTTAAGATGGATTTCATGTAGTTCTTGTAAGAAGCCGTGACCAGTGGAGTCCAATCCGTGTCTGGTAGAGACAGGTATCCACCTCAGACAATGGTTGACTGCTTGCGCAAGATCATGGATCAATTGAAGTCAGATATTAACACCGTTGGATGCCGGCTCAGTGGTCTAGAGGTTAGGCTTCCGCATCCCAGACTGAAGGTTCTGGATTCGAGTCCTGCATGCGAAATCCATGAAGTATGCAGCTGAGGAGTCTCGTAATAGGACAAAGCAGCCGTCCACTGTTTCCATGTTTTCAATGTCGATCAGTTCATAAATTCAACTATTAAAATTACTACAATCTCCATAAGCACCCATTCGGTTCAAAATAGAAAGAACACAAAGTTCGAGATGATTAGTAAATAATAAAATGAGGAATGTCAGTGAAGCCAATAAGGACATGCTTCTTTTTACCACATCAATCATAATGTACATTCAGTTTTATACTTCCTTTATATCCCAACTACGCTTCACATTATTCTGTTTAAAGATCTTGCAAGGGTTACATTATCATTACCAGTATTATTATTATTATCTCTGAACGTTTTCTGTGTACAATAAAATATTAATCCAATATTTTTTTATTTTCATGGTGTGTTCAGTGAAGAATTGTCTTTGCTTCGAATTCATTTTCCAGGCTGTACAGCCACAAGTTTTTTTTTTTCGAAATGATGTCCATTACAATAATAGTGATGATAAAACGTTTTTGCTGAACACGGTAATAGTGAAGTTGAATGAACAAAGACATAAAAACGTTATTTTTAATAAGGAAACAAATAATTTGGCTATTAAGAGCTTGAATATCCATCACGAAGATGGATAAAGAAGTTATGATTGGAAAAGGAAGTTTCAGAATGACATGATAAAATGTTGAAATCCAGATGAAACGTGATCAGGAGGGTCATAGAAAAAAACAGGAGCAAATCAGTTTGGGGTTAAAAAGTCTTTAGAGAAGATTGAAGGGATTGATATAAAGAGAAAAACAAAAACAAGCTTACGAGAAATTAGAACTACAGTAGAAGTTGTACAAGTTTTTTTCTCTTTTGTACACATAATTCTGGCTTTTACAAATGTCTATCAAATACTTCAGAAATGCTAAGAAGACAGAAACAAACACCCTTTGTCAACTTTCTATTTACCTTGTAAGATGACTTTGAATACTGAGTCACCATTAATGTCATTATTATTTTGAATAAAATAAGTAGATCTTTGCTATTGTACAATTTTAAATATAAATTCACTGAAAAGAGAGATTGTACAAATAATCAATTTTTCCTGTTTTTATGTTTTATTGAAATTCATAATTGAGCATAAAATTCAACTTTAAGGGATGGTTGATCACTTCTTGAACAGAATATCTCAATTCTATCGGTATCGTTTGGCTGAATCTTCCCATTGACGTTTAGTACTGCAATTGTTCAGTCTCTTATTTGCCATATGTGCATACTGTGCGTATTGCTGCGATAAAGCCTTAATTCACAAGCATTATAAGCAAAGATGGATAGTGGCCAGCAATGGAATCTAGGACTCGTGTTTCTTCCTATCTGGAACTCGTCGAATGGATGTACCTGCATCTCCGAGTTGATGTTCATTCTGGGACTCGAACCCAGTACCTTTTGCTTCAAACGCTATCGCGTTTTCCACTTAGCTATTGAGTCCTGATAGCCACTTACTTGTGGAATGGGATGACGTTTAAATTCACTTGATATTGTTTGGTTGAATCTTCCATGGATGTTTAGGACTGCAATTGATCAGTCTCTTATTAGCCATATCTCAATATTGTAATTAATAAATTCAAAATTAAAACGAAATATTCCATTACACAATCAATTAACTCTTTCCATTAGTTACGTAAAAAAGACGTAATTTCGGTTTAGTTTTGATCTTAATATCCATTAAATTAATTAGTGATTTAATTATTTTTCTTTTTAACGAAAATGCTAAAATACATTGATCAAGTGTTAGGAACATTTATATCTAAAAATGAATGGTCAACTAGACTAGAAATGGTTGGTATGAGGAGACAAGGATAATAATAATGTGAAAAGAATGTGAAACCTAATCACTCTGGCTAATAAACTAATATTACCAGGGTAGGTTTAAGGTGAGAACAAACTGTTTTTGAATAAGGGGGTTTGAATTTTCGAATGGCTAAGGCTTCAATAAACTTTAGTATACGTTTTTTACACTTTTATACAAAACTAAAAAAGCTCAATCCTACGGCCTGTTTCGATCATGTGTTCGGCTTATTATCCAGAGTGATTAGGTTTCACATTATTATCCATGTCTTCTCTTACCCCCCTATTTCCAGGCTAATTGACCTTGTATTTTTATATATAAATGTTCTCATCAGGTATATGTTTGATCAGATTGTTCGAAATGTATTGCACTAAGAAATCTCTTTTTTCTTTTAAAAAAAGTAAAATTTCTCACAAACAACTCAATTTATCCTGTGTTCATAATTTACAATATTTTATGTGTTCATTTTATTCATTTTGCAGATTATAGAATTTTAAAAGCTATCAGTACTGAATCTATGGTTGGTTATCTGGATCCAAATTTAGTTTCACCCGGTAAAGCTGTCCCTGTATCGGCTATTACTACTAGTACTACCAATAATAATAATAATGGTAGTAGTATTAACAGTAGATCATCCAGCCCACAAAGTTTATCATCTTTAAATTATTCAACCAAAAGTGTCAATAATAATCGATTAAATACAATATCATCATTTAGTAGTGGACAGTTTAAAAGTAATAATAATAACAACCTCAATGTGGACATGGATTCACTGTATACACCATCATTGGAACCGAGAAATTTATTGGCTGACTTACTAGAATATTGTTCTGTTGTAATGCAAGATGTTAAAAGTGAGTATTTGTACTAATTATAGTATTTATCTTTTCCATACATTGGGTGGTTGAAGATAATCGACCTAGGTATTATACTAATTTGGTACTTGTTAGTTTATGGCTTTTACTCAGTCTTCAGTGAAGTGGTCTTTGAGGAATTCTAACTCGTGTCACTCTGCTTCAGAGTTTAAGGAATTACCACTTTGCTTTTAGGACATAGTGCAAACGAATTCGAGTCATTCAGGTCAGTGGATACATTTTATCGTGGTTGATATTATTCGATCAACACTAAAAGACTACACAAAGATGACATTGGTCACTTCATTTCGTTGAATACATTCGGCTATACCAAGGAAAAATGGAAATGCTGTGCTGAAAATATCTAAGGTTTTCCTTGCACATATTCATTTTAACAAGGATACATTCCAACTGGTTTTCATGTATGTTGGTTATTTGAATCTTCCCACTGTTATTTAGGACTGCGATTGATCAGTCTCTTTTGACATATGTGCATCCTGTACGGATTGCTTCGATACTCCCAGTGAGTCACAAGCATTTTAAGCAGAGCTAGATAGTGACTATCAATGGAATCCAAGATGCTCGTTCAGTCTTATTTAGGACTCGTCAGTTGCAATTACCTGCATCCCAGTGTTCATGTTCACTCCAGTAGTCAAACCCAGTACTGCTCGCTGCAAACCCTATCATGTAATCTACTTAGTTAGTGAGCTCAAATAGCCACTAAATTGTTATTGTCGAGTACAGTATCAATAACTATCAAAGATAAAAGCGGGATTGCCAGCGAAAAGGCAAAAAATAATAACGTAACAGCCAAAAAGATTCCTAATCTTTGTGATATGTGCATATGGAAAATTGATGAGGTGCGAAAGTATTTTCAACATTTGTTTTTACACCAGTTATCTCCTCAACTGTCAATAAAATGTTATGATTTATTGTTTATTCCATATTGGAAACGACACTGGTGAATATCAATATAAATTATTCACAATTGAAATTTTGATTAGAACACATAGAGTTACCAAACATTAGATGATTGTGTAATGAAGCAACTAAAAACAGATTATTGGTAATAAATAAAAATATAAGTTGAAATCAGTCAATTAAGAGTTAACTAAAACCGACTATAATGTAGTCAAAACTTGAGAAAGAGTTGAAATGACGAATGATGCAATAAAAAGAATGTAATATTACCAGGATAAAGAAAGATTTATTGCCGCTTTTTTTGGACATGTTGATCTGGTTTTAAACGTTTGATCGTCATCGCTTTGGCAAATTTTAGATTTAAGTTTGATTGTTTATTAATCACTTTGAAAGACTTCAGTGTATCGACTTGATGTCCTGTATCAAGATGTCTTCAGATGACACTGCTGGATGGTCTGGCAGAGGTGGGTCAGAGCGTAGGCCATAAACTGTGCTATAACAAGTGGATTAGCGGTCGACAGTAAATCTGATTGTGATATGAGCCTAAAGTGAGCACATCGTCTTTGGAGATTTATTTACATACTGATTTTGGTAATATTCATTCAGTGAAAATACAGCTGGGTTTCGACCTAGAGTGATTGCGTTTATCCCTATATGCATCCCATGAAATGTATGGGGCTCGGTTTATGCGTTCTATATGTGCATGTAACGTATATTTGCGAACGGGAACTTCTATCCGCATATGTACTTTTGGGATGAGTGAAATTGTTTGTGCATTCTATGATTGCATGTAACTCATACTAGCAGCCGCTCTGTTTTATGCCTATATGTTTATCACCGTGATATATCTCTGATATCTGCGTTTGGTCCATATACAGCATACTTGGAAACAAATTCCACGTTTCTCCACTGGTAAACTCATTAGCGGCTCATCAGGGGTTTTGGTTTGTATAAAGGCTTTCAAAAGTGATACGAATGTGTTATGTAAACCAAAATGTGTCCATCTGCACTACTTAATGTGGATTAAGTTAATCTCCCCGTTCTACTGATATCATGGTCCTTAAATATACCTAAAAAACCACGAAGTGAACCAAAATGAATATGTGTACTTTGCTTTCTTTACTGTCCAGTCGCATTTTCTTTGCAAGGCTCTTCTCTTTTCCTGAAGGGCTTATGGAGCTTCATCTACAATGTTCGGTCAGAATACTTACCTACTCAATATATTGTATTTTCTTAATTTTTAAGAAGATTGGTTTGTGTAATTCAGTTTTCAAATGTTCACTTTACATCTGATTGATTTAAGGATCAAGCTTTACAAATATTTACACGTAAAAATATGCGCGAAAAAGTCTGTTGACATTGGATGTGCTTTATGGTGTTTTTTCCTTTTTTATTGTTTTCTCATCATTTAGTGTTGAACTTTTAAATCCTTTTGGTTTTTTTTGTAGCTCCGGAATCACTTAACAGTTGTCATCTTTGCTTAATTATTCTTTGCTGTATAACTCAAGTACGTCTGCGTAATCTGAATTTATTAGTTCTTGCATTATTGATCTTACATATGATTTTTATGAATTATTTTGACCGTCATCGATACTGGATGGTGTAGTATTGGATTAGAAAATACCTAGGAATGTGAACAAACCAAGGCGCACCATTAGCCCGTCAAGTCATTGACTATTGGTCTGACTTATGTTTGTGTAGTTGAGATCCATGTGATTATTAAGACAGGTGATCGGAGTTATTGTATGAAATGGCAGGGGATAGATCACAGTTATACGGATTCTTGCACGCTATTTTCTGCTAGATCTCAAGTTTCAATATTGTTTTTTTTTTACTTTCTATCCCCTTATCTTATTCTCTCTTTTTGAGCCATATCCTGTGTTTAGTTTTGTTGTGACTTATTATCCCAACTAACTTTATATGTATTTTTTTAATAACATTTCACTGTGGTGAAGGAATGTTGTTACTTAGAATGATTCACATGTGTATTAGGCTCTACACTGACTATGGTTAACTTATTTGAGCTATGGACTGGATCAGGAGACAAGGAAATGTTTTGATGGAAAACACGATGTGATTTGATAGATGTTGAAGGTGTGTTTAGGTTACGGACATTCCTGGGTCCACATATTCTGAAATGATATTTTTAATTTAGAAACTTTTAAAACAATATGGTTTAGTACTTATTGTTTTCTCGATTTAATATCAGGATGTTTGACCCTAATGAGTGAATCTTTCATGCTAGTCACCCTGGCTTGAATTAACTCTCACAAACACTGGAAAATCATGAGACATTTGAAGAATACTATTATTAATGGCGATATTTACTAACCCATTCTTTTTGTCTGTGAGAAAGTAACATCTCTTAGAGTGATAATTTTTCATTACACAACAGTACATTCAACATATTCATTTTTAGGATTTACCTTGATCTTATTGTTCTCCAATAAACTTACCTACTTTCGTATGAACCTAATAACCATTTACTCTAGCTAATTTAACTCAATTAAGTCATCATTATAGACTAATATGCATACTAATTTAAACTGACAGTTCCAATTGCTTACTTCTTGACAGGTAAATTTGAAATAGTTGTAAAGCTATGTTTGCATCGAGTTAAAAAAAGAAATCAGTTGTCTATAAGCGCTAAATTAATGTAAAATTTCTCTAAGTAATTGTATAAAAATACATAAATATATAGATTGTTTAGGGTAATAATATCGACCCTTTAAAACTGTACAGAATTCATGATAATTATTCTTTATAGTTTAATTTTGAACTATTAGTGTTCATTAATAGAAAAAAAAATTATAATACTTGTCTCATAAGAAAGAAAGAAAACAACTATGATATTCTGAAAAAGCACTTGGTGATTGATGATGTCGGTGACCAGCTGTTAGTAACATTGTTTTAAAATGTAAATTATATATTTTTTTTAAAAAAAAACATGCTGAGTTACATAATTTCTAAAAAAAACAGTACTGTCTATTATGTAGGCTAATTCAATTCTGCAGTGCTATAGTTATAAGATATTGTACAATGCTATGAAGTATTATATATGAAGATTCGTATCGCTTTGTAAAATTTGTACTCCATACAATGGAGATCTAGTTGCGTTCTTCTACTTTGTTGTTTAAACTTTTATTTACATACATTTTGCCCTTCGAATGGATTAGATCAAGAAAACATAGTATGCATGATAAATAAATTAGGTTGGATATTATTGTCACTAGTCAATTGGTTAAAATAATATCTTGAATATTTCTCTTTAATTATTTAGTCATAAATTGATCAGAATATACACTGCTGGGATCACTGACAGTTTTCAAGGTATTGGAGTTGAGTAAAGAATAAATGAAAAATGGAGTAAGATTGAAGAAACACAAAGGATATAGATATATTTGTACAGTATAGTCTATACCTAAACACGGGAATAATAAACTGATTTCTTTCTTTTTTGTTAACTGTTTCTACTGAGTTTATCGTTCATCCTTTTGTAATTTCCTATAGAATCGATTGGCTTGTTCCTTATTACATGACATGCAAACCAGTTTTAAAGTTAGAATACATAAATCCGTGAGTTGGTTGTGTGTATATAATGCCCATATGTTATTTTATTTCTTTTCTTTTCTTTGCAATTTATCTCTGTGGTAAAGATTTATTAGAATATACGATTTTCAACTAACATTAGAATCAAAGACTTACGTTTCGTCTTCCTTTGTGGGACTCATCAGCTTGATGTATTTGCTTGCATCTCAGTGTTCAGGTTTACACTGGGTTTTTGGTTGATCTAGATAGCAGGATTGTGGTCATAAATGTCAGAAGCCGTTAATTAACGTGTGAAAACTCATCTACTGAATCAACCAGCCCTGAAAATTGATGGTACTCGAATGTTGGATCTATACTGGATCATTACTGCAAACTGGGCCTATGCCTTTGTGAGAGCAGGCTGCACGTGGTCCAGGCGTGGAATAACAGCAATGAGCAGGATAATCACCAGGGATAACGGGAAGCCTCGAGTTTGAGCTTAGGTGAGGCAACCATAGGCAAGTTCTTGGCGGTAGTAGTAAGTGTTCAAGGTGGACAAGAATGCAATGGGAATAACAGTCCGCCATGGGTCAGACAATCACGAGTGATCCGTAAATCAGAGCAAAGACAGGATGCCTGAAATTGTCCGTTTGTGAACTTATTCTAGTATCCGCCAAAGTGTTATTACTTTACAGCCCCCTTTGTAGCAAAATGGGATCCGGTTAATATTCCTGTTCACAGAGACTGGTGCATGTTAAGACTTTGGTTCATCGTGCGCTCAGCATGGTAACTCAACTGACCTTATAGACGTCAGTGATGGTTCTGAAGAGAGTTCTCTTTCCGTCTTCAATTATTCATTCGGCGAAATTATAATTTATGGACGAACCAATCATATTTATGATAGCAGGTCATGAATTTTGGCGCGAAATTCATTCTCTCCTTTGGTTAAATAACATTTTGGCATTATAGCTGACATCAGTTCGTGATGAAAACATCAAATCTAATTCCTAACCTTAAGTTACTTACTCCTGTTACCTCTCGTGGAGGAGCATAGGTTACCCACCAGAATTCTCCATCCAATTTTTTTACGGTTTCGAAGTATTTCGTACACATAGTACTAAGTCATCTTCGTATGCAATGTGGTTTAGTTGTCCGACGTTTATAGTGAGATGACAATTAATCCTAGGCTTTTCAAACACAATAATAAAAAGCCATGATTGAGTGTTTCTTTGTTTCACTTCACATCTCGGGTTGCGTACCACAGAACTGAATAACTACTATGGTGAGTATGGATATATCGCAACACCGCACGAAGGAGATTGACTGATTCAAAGCAAAGTATTTCTATTGAGGAATACACTCTGGACGTTGAGAGAAGCAGCAGTCAGTCTTTTTCCAGGATATCATACAGAAATCGGGCATTTGCGGTTGCTATGAACGTTCGCTGGGTTTCTTGGTATGATACCTTTTCGCATGAGCGTTACTCCGGGCGTCGTGAAATTTTGGAGTTTACTTGGTCCAAGAATTAGGTTCAGATAAACAGTTAGTACTGTTAGATCGGTTTTCTTAAGATCTTCAACTGTAACCCTGTCCATGATAACTCCTAGTCCAATTATGTCTGTAAGTGTCCATTTCACTTCAGGTTTATCAGCCAGGGAGATAAGTAATGAGGCTTAGGGGACTGGGGTCATAGTTACGACGCCGTTGAATCTCTTCACTTTGACAGTCAGAGTACTGGATAGGAAGCACACTAAGTCAAATACAATCAGTCAACACCTCAACCCTTTGTGTTAATTTGATGGTCGGATTTTCCTGTTTCGTATCAGTTCTGAGTTAGTCTTTGCGCACCAAACCACGAAAGTAAAGCTTAAAGTTCCTAGTTCACTTCAGGCTGAACTTTGACCAAGTGTGAACGTATTATGCATTGTTGGTGTTCAAAGCAGTATGCAGTTTGCATTAATTCGCACATTTAGCTGCACTTTTCATCAACACCTACAGTTCAAAGTTGAACGCCAATAATCCCATACATCATTTTTAAGAGGATATAGAATTTATGGGTAACGTTTGTGGTATTTACCACTAAGCTAGCTTACATGCAGTCGAGCACGAAATTAGGTGCATGTCTGACACCCAAACTTGGTCGATATAAACAGTATGAAATGTTCAGTAACAGGACGGAGTTCAAATATATGGCATACAACTATCTTTTAATGTAGTATACAGCAATAACGTTGTGCACTGTCCCATCGTCCTTAGCAGGTTAGGCAACCCAAGAGTCACGAGAACACCATTGGAGCTTACAACAGGCCAGCTACCTCGGCCAGGTAGTTAATTAGTATTTTGGTCAAATTATTTTATTGTTAAGATCATGAGTGGCAAAGACTTCAAGACAACTAAATACACTTAAAAAAATCCAAACAGGATGTCAAGGTGAGCTCATCGGCACCCAGTTTTCACAGACGTTCGATTGCCTGTATACTCTAACTGAACCAAACCGAACACGGGTCCTGATCGTAACCAAAATTGTAAGCAAGCAACGTCATGTAACTATATGGCTCAGATCAAACTACAACCTTTTTACAACAAGGTGTTTTCTACTTAACTAATGAGTCCAGATCGTCTGCAACTTGTTAATTTTGTCTTTTCATAATATTAATAATAAGGTTGTGAATTTTATTGCTGTTGATAATCAAGTGTGAATTTCGATGAGTTTCTATAGGCATATGCGCCTCATGAGCGAAATTGTTTCTACACAGCTATTTTGTCACGAATTGATTTAACTTGTTGATCATCGGACGCTATCTGAGAGGTTCAAACACTTGGCTTTCAAATAATAGTAGGTCATACTTTCAAATCACAATCCATCTCTTTTCTTTGATCATCTTGGGGGGGGGCATCACCAGCCGTCAAATAGATTGCGACTTAAGGCCAAGCCTGAGAATTTGTAGTTGATAAATGAGTTACACAACGTTTTGAACCCCACTCTACTAACTGTTCAAATAATTCATAGGAAGCTTTTTTGTTGTTCCTCAAGGAAAAATATTTTTATTCATATTATTACTTGTTTTTTACGTTTATTTTCTGCAAATCTTTCTTGAGCGTGTTCCTCTTTTTTCATTTCCTAATAGCGTTCACGTAAATCTGATCCGAAAAGCTACAATGCATTTACAAGTCGTCCGATTGCTATGGTTATTTTAGGTTGGTTTGTATTCTCTACTCTTTTTCTTGACATATTTAAAGTTAGATTGCTTTGTCATTTTATAATCCTTAGTACTTTTAGCTAAATTAAAAGTTGTACGAACCGGTTTCTAAACTAACGTTTACCTGAAAAACTATGAATTGACATGATGAATTCATTGTTACACTTGTCGTAGTGCACGCATAAAAATGAGTTTTTTTGTCGATTGAACGACTTCTGTGTAATTCGATATCAATTTATACTACTCTTTATGTATTACACAAGTCCTTGATATTGATCGAATTAAATCTTAGACAGTTATTAAGTTGTTCTCTGTATTTTCTAAGTTTAATCATGATATCATAACAAATTGTCGTGTTAGTAGTGATATGCTTGAATTAAATCGATTCCGCGGTAACAAACGAAAGCCAATGACACAATGACACGATAAGCTATTCTAATCTGTTGTCCCAGGCCCCGCTAACTAGATGAAGTCCAAGGCAAGTAGGGGAATATATGTATTCCGTGAGCAGCCGAGTACAAGCAATCAAATAAGGGAAAAAGTCAAGCGCATTTATACAGCAACAAATTGTCCTTGAGCATCATTAATAAATAGCACACACAATGGACCAATAGCGTTTAAGATAGTTTACAAGTGGAAAATATGATGTGAAGGTAAAAAGGGCGCGTTTGGCGCGAAAACAGCTAAATTCAAATTTCCAAAATAAAATTACAAAACTAAGCCACTTACCAAGTAAGTTCTGGGGATTTGACATCCCCAACAGTTTTCGAGATGTTTTTCTTATGCAAGGGTTATTTTCACTCTAGTCACGATAGTCTAATCAGTTATATATGGTAGTTGAAAATTGACAAGGCCGTGTAATATCCTTACTGACTTAAGTAATTTGTCCTAATGTTGAGTGGCCGCCTACACACCGTAATTGGATGATGGCCTTATTAGAATTTGGTTGGAAAAAACAATTAAAGGCAATCAGGTTAATGCGGTATCGTTACACGAAGTTTATAATTGATATCTTGTAATTTGTAGTAAGAAGCATGACTTTGTGTAACTGTTTTTTGTACCATTTTTCGGTAGTGCATAGTTTCATAACCAAAACTGTAATAATGTATATTCTAGACTTTCATTGATTTATTTGAAGCGGTTTTCGTAAAGACTGGTTTAATTTGTAAATTGCATTTGTCACAGATTAATCTCAAATGAGGCACAATTGAAAGCCAGAGATCACTGAACAGCTATTTCGTCCTAACATGAAACTCTCTACGCGTACGTACACACGACCCCACCAGGGAAAGAGCCTAATATTTTCAAATCTGATGGCAAATTCTTAAACCCTAGAACTACTACATCAACGTCTCGTCGTATTGTGGTGTTTGCTACGTATGTCGACAGACATAAGTAGTATGTAACACGAATCGGAAGTGAAATGCCTGGCAGCAGGAAGCTAAGGAGATCGAGTTAAAGAAAACAGAAAGGGAAATAGAAAGGAATTGTGAGGTGGATGAATCATACAGAATGTGAAAGACAGTTGATGGAATATTTGCAAATGGAGAATATAATGTATTGTTTTCATATTTTGCGAAGATATTCTGTAATGTGCTATTAAATAATAAATTGGTTGTTCCCACTTCGAGTATTCGGTCACAACAGTACAATTTCAATTTCCGCTCTACCACAACGACCATTCAATGCCTTTGGTGAAGATCGCTTTACTCGCAACATATACTTAATCTATTAATGATAACTAGTTTCCAGTCCTTGATCTAAACATATTCGGTTTATCATCAGTTGTAGAGTCCAACGTTTTATCGTATCTTATTTCGAAATTACTACTTATCCGCGATGAACGATTATATATTGAATTTATGACTGATAGACTTGAAACTATTAATAATGGAAATTTATAGGGTAAAATTCATTTTATGGTTTTATTCGAAGTAACTTAGTATTATCATAAGCTTAATACATTGTATTTTCTTTGTTTTTTGATTACATCTATGTTTATTTATCTACGTTTCCAATCTAGACTTAATGATAGAATTTGCTCATGGACATTTGATGAAGAAACTTCCACATCGTTTATACAGGTATGTGAATTGTTCATCTTCAAATGAACAATTAAATATATTCATATCCGTTGTCGTAGTCTGATTTCTACCGTGAAAGTATTGAACATATGTTTAATCTTAGTATGAAATGTCTTAAAAGTGCTAAAGCACAATTCTGCTACTAAACGAACCTACGATCTTCAGGCCTTACAATAAATAACACAGGACTCTTAATGCACTAAGTTGAAAGCAAGTTATTTACGTCTTTTCGCAGTATTACACACATGATCATTCATTACCATATGGGACAACTGTTATGTCCTATGGATCTGTTAATACATCACGTGACTAAATCGCCAATAGAATATATATTTATGTGACCTTGGCACTGTCCCTAACCAATGACGCATAAATTAGTACTAAAGTCAACTCTGAATCCATATTGGTCCTCTTTGTATCAACCTCTCACCCAGCCCATCGAGTCCAGAACACAGATATCGACCTCCGCTGTGTAAATCGTATATCTCAGACATGCTTGGTTTATATACCAGCAGATCAGACTGCATCACACCATAAAGTAGAAAATAACAACTATACAAGATCAAGCGAAAAATGGCTGAGTGTGATGTACTGTAACTCATAATTTGGGAATATGAATAGTAAATCGTATAACATTCGTCAATAAGTCAAATGGAAGCTTATAATAAACGGAATATAAATGTATAGGTATAATCTAGCTACTTAATAATTATCCAATAAGAATATATGTAATAATACTCCATAAGTAATTCCTAGCATTTACCATTCATTTGTTCATTTTGCGGACATAACAAACCTCTTACTATTCTTATGATCGTTGTAACTGTAAAATTAACCCCGTCGAGACTTTTGTTACTGCATCTCCTCACGATGCTCCACTGCCTTGTGGATCAGACCTTTCGGTCAAAGGCTCGGGGTGTGGCCCCCTAAGAAAACCACCTGCTTCGGTTTGGGCACCCGGGAAGTATCACAGCCCACACACAAATTATTTTGTGTGGCGCATATGTACCTGGTGCCCTTTTGTACCAATATATATGTGTTTAAATAAATAAAAATAAAATATCCAGGGAGTCGTCGCTGTTATGTAGGTATCAACTCTGTTGGGTCCGCAATCTTACTGCTTCAATTGACATTTGCGAACCACCGCTATTCCTTGATCCTGCCGCTTATACTGGAAAATGGGAACTACTTCAGCTCCCACGACTTAAAGTGAGGATGCGAAAGACTGGTTCAGTGAAAATTTGTTGACTTAAAAACACAACGACAAACAAGTCCCAAATCACATCATCCTTAGACCACAATACAATCATTTATATTCCGAATTATACTCAGACATTATGTTACTAACACGTAGGCAGAATTCACAGTTACTTTAAAATCACACAATAAGTATAGTCCATCTGAATAAAAATGACGCCAACAGACACTACGTCATATGGAACAAATTTTGCACCGAATTGATCGATATGAGAAAATATTAACCTTAAAACGTCACTGAGCTACGTTTGCGCTTGTCATTGAATTTCACAATGAATTGATACTGAAAGAATTGATCTGAATAATGCCATCTTCCTATTCCGTCATATCAATGCGTAACATCTCTGTAAGCATTTATCCCTAGTGTCGTATATCTACTTTCTTATATTTATGATATCTTCTCTGTGAAGAATTAGATATATTTTATATTAAACTGTTCATTAGTTTCATATGTGAAATAATGATATGATGGTATATTTGAAATGTAACTGGTTAATTCATAGCTAATAACAACTCTTTTATATTCCTTTTTCTTCTTCATTATAAACTTAATCTTTCCTCATGCCCTCCGCTCTTAAATATCTATTTTTCTTAGACTTTGTTTAATCGTATGTCAAAATTTATTGTGCTATCAGAAAATGCATAAAATTCGTTTGGAATTCGACTGGAAATCACTATGGACAGGTTAGATACTCCTTCTTTTTTCTTGTTATTGTTGTTGTTATCATTCTCCTCAAAATGCGTTTCCTTCTTTATATTTTTCTATAATAGTTTGTTTTTGGCCTATACATTTAGAAATTGACATAATAGACTCATAGCTTCACGATTACCATAAATTTAGCTTTGCATGTTTAGACTACGTGGTTGTGGAAGTATACACAATTATCGTAATCGATGATTGAAAATCTTGAATGACATGGATCAAAATAAGTAACAGTGACTCAAATGTATTCACTCTTTATTTTAGAATACCTTTCCTTTTTATTACATGAATTCATTCTTGTTGAATCACATTGTCTATGGTTAGTCACTCCTTCTTTTTTTGCTTCTCCCACTATTATTTCTGTTATTACTACTTCTTTAATCGATGCACATTTGTATCAGATCCTTACTTCTGCTTATGAACACTGTCTGATTTATCATTTTAACCAATTTAATAAAACGCGAGTCAATTGAAGCTAGACCACCAAAGAAAACCTGGAAGCAGTGGACGGCCGTTTCATCCTATTTTGGGTTTCTTCAGCAGTGCACATCCGCGACCTGGCCTCGCTTTCAACTATGAAAATATTAAATCTCCACAAAAACTCCTTCTGATAATAGTAATCATAAGCTCACTCACTAGTCACTGACTTCGAGAGGTAAATCCAGGAGTTCTAGTGAGAAGCAGTGACCAGTAGATTTCAAACCACATCTGTTGTGAGATATCAACTCACTGAAGACAATTGGTGAACGGTTGCTCAACTTCGTGGATTGGTTTGAGTTCGACATGAATACCATCGGATGCCGGCTCAGTAGTCTGTCGGTTCAGTGCTCTGGCGCGAGACTGGTAGATCCTTGGTTCGGATCTCGCGAGGCGGGTTCGTGGATGCGCACTGCAGAGGAGTCCCAAAATAGGACGAAGCGACCGTCCAGTGCTTCCAGGTTTCCCCTGGTGGTCTAGCTTCAATCGACTCACGCTTTCAACTATGAACATAATAAATCTCCACAAAACACCCCTTCTGATAATTTAATAAAAAGTATTATTTCGTTTGAACTATTCAATATTGGATAGTGTGTATTGACTAACTCGCGTTGTAATTTTGTGTAGGCACCTACATTTCACCTTTTCGCTCTCAAATTCTATTGTTCATCGGGTATAGTTAATTCCCATTGATAATGAGTTACAGTTACCATGATGTTCAGCGATGGAAATTGGATCATATCCATTCTTGTCCAGTTTTAATGCATCACAAAGTTCATTGTGAGGTTAACAATTAATATTGAATAAGAAAAATTTATAATTTCAAATACTTCACAGTTAAGCAGTCTGTATTTAACAAAGTGCTTCAAACCAATTGTCACTATATTTATGAATTGATATCAAGTTTTTAATTTTAGCCCAGTGTAACTTATTTCTAATCCTCTTGACCAACTAACATCGAGCGTCTAATCACATAGTTATTCACTTTAAGTCAAATTAAAACTAATAAATATTTTAGGATAAAATGCAAACCATTTCATTTTGTATCCTACTCTAAATCTCACTATACTTGGTAATCCATATCTTGTTACTAATCACGTTAAAAACATAAGTCATAAACTTTATATATAAACATTTTGTGCAAATTATTTTATTTCAGACTTATTTTTGAGAGATCAAAGTTTACTACTGTAGTGAATGAGAGCTCCGGTCGAGATAACCAATTTATTGTTATAAGCAAAATTATAGAATGTCTTCGTAAATTACAAAAACCATATATTGAATACTTTATTTGCATATCTTCTATCAATTATCTCTCAGATACTTTATTGTTCCTTCATTCCTGTTATTACAATTACTATCTATTTACGTTCCTGTTCCTTTCAATTCTATTTTCTCAATCTTCTGTTGCCGGGCACTCCACTTTTGATTGATGTTACATACTACTTATACCTATCAACATAAGTAGCATACACTACACGAATACTGAAGCTTCCCGTTTATCCTTATAACAACAAAATAATTCACTCATGTTATAAATTTATATTAATTAAAATTATATAACTACTACTGTAGTGAACAAAACACTAGTTGGGGACAATCGAATGTATTTAAGCAAAAATTACAGGCTATCTCAGTAAATTCTGATAACCAAACAATGAACAGTCAATTTGCAAATTAACAACCAATTGTTTCAATCTTCACTGTTTCTTCTCTTATTCCATTGCTCATGCATTTTCCAGACGATTGCGCTTCATTTCAGTTCTTTCCTCATCGATCTTCTGCCAAAATACATCCTATGTCTGTCCCACACCATATACTACTTATATAGATATAAGTAGACCACACTACACTAGCTTACTTAAAAATTATTATTAACGTTAAAAGATAATCATCTCGTGTATACAACTCTAAATTTATATTGTTAATTCCTTAGTTCAATAATGTAACTTAAATATTATTCTATTGTATGTGTTCAATTTAATACGACCACTGCTCAAACCGAATCAAATAATACAAGATTCGAATCTATAACCTAATACTTTATCGTTCATCTACGCATACAAATCCATACACAAGTTTACGTAACTTTATCAATATCTATGAATAACAGTTAAAAAGAGTACCAAATCAATAATTGAAACCTTTTTCTTTTCTTTTTGTTTACATTATTAGTTATTTTAAGTTTACTGAAATTTGTCCTCAACTTGGATTGTAATAATTTACAATTACTTGATGCTTTGAAATTAATGGAAAAGGTATGCTTTGATCTAGTTATTGATTTGATGTTTATAGAATTCTTGATACTATTTACCTGGTTAGAATTAGAACTACTCTTTTTTAATATATAGGAGATTTATGACGATTATTCAATTTAAGACAGATAATATCAGTGGATAATGAATGATGGTTATACCTAATGCTAATGCTCCCAAATGCCCTGGTACGTCCGAGAGTGGGGAAAGTCCGCTCTCCCTCTCTTGAAATGCTCTCACATAACCACGCGTATATAGCCTCTGCCAGGGAAGTCCTACTCACTGCCTTCTCGAACCACGGGTGTTGTTTACGAAATCGAGAGGACGGAAAGCGAATGTTTAGCGCTTTAACCGGGTTGGTGGATGTGGAGTGTCCACCTAGGGGAGTTGGGAAACCCTGATTCCTAACCAATGGTGCACATGGGCTCCAGTATCCTGAAGGAACGAATGGCGTATGAACCAATTGTTGGTCACCGGCTACCATAGAACTGCATCTCCTCACGATGCTCCACTGTCTTGTGGACTAGACCTTTAGGTCAAAGGCTCCGGGTGTGGCCCCCTAAGAAAACTATCTGTTTTGGCTTGGTCACCTGTGCAGTATCACAGCCCTCACACAAATCAAATGAGATTTGTGCGGCGCATATGTATCTGGTGCTTCCTTGTACCAATATTTATGTGTTTAAATAAATAAATAATGCTAATGAAACCCATAGTACGATAATAAAAAAAAGCAGTTATCGTCTGCTCCTCGGGTTTTAATGTTTACCTTAGTAAGGTTAGTCCTTAATATAGGTTGTTCTCATAGAAATTCGTTATGTAACATTTGTTAAATACAGAAAAAAATATACTCTTCCCTCTTATGAAAATCACTTTTTGTGGAGGACGATATTAATGTTTTATAACGAATTTTTAAGTAATTCTATATAAATAATCTTGAAATCCTCAATAAAATAGTTTGTTCCAGTGCTTCTTTATTTCCATTTGTGGTCTACCTAAGACCAGTCAGTGATACGAACTACGAAGATTCTACAATCTCTACAGCCCTACCACTATGCTAATATAATAATTCTATGCTTACCAGTGACTAGTTTCAAAATGCGATTCCTGTAGTTCTAGTGAGAGACCCTGACTAATTGAATCCAACCATATCGGATGTAAGATAGATAACCATCAAAGCTAATCACTCAATATTGCGAACTAATTAAAGCCTAAGGAGCACATTATTGGATCCTAGATCAATAGTATAAAGCTTAAGTATTCTCGTGAGAGATCGAACGTCTTGAGTTCGATCCAGTATGGTGAATTCATTGATGGACATTTCTGTGAAGTCCCATACTACGACGAAATAGCTGTCCATCACTTCCTGTTTCTTAATAATGGTCTAGTCAAAATCACTTCGTCATATAAACTCCGAAAATTCTATAGTTTCCACACAATCCCTTAAAGTAATGTTTTTTTTCTACTACAAGTTCATCTACCAAGAACATTAGCTATTATAAACAAACGTTTTACTAATAAGTATAAGACTTGTTTTGTAGAATCTATTAACTGTTAAGTTATCAATAATATTTAAAGAGCATAATCATTGTTTATCTTAAAAACGCACCTTTCGGTAAACATTGTTTTATTTAGTCATATCACTAATAACTCTGTAAATACTATTTTCTTATATTCCATGTTAACTAATCTTTATACATTCTATGTGCAGTCTATTTTATATTTCTAAAACAGTGACTTGTTTATCATTGCCATCTATTACATTAGATTGTTGCTTAAACTACTATTGTTGAGGGTACATAATTTTACCAGAATAAAATTATAATTAAATGATTTATAGATGCAATCCGTTTATAAACTTACTATTTGTTTCGTGATGATTTTCGAGATAAAGCATATATATATTATTGTAAATGACATTATTGAGTTTCATGAACACCGTACCCTAATACGCTCACAAATTCTGTTGTCTACGAAATTAAAAGGACGGAAAGCGAATGTCCGACTCTTAAATCGCGTTGGTGGATATAGAGAATCCACCTAGGGGAGTTAAAAAAACTTTGGTCCCAAACCAGTTGTCCATATGAGCTCCAGGATCCTGAGGGAAGAAATTAGGTATGAACCTATTGTTGATGATTGGCTACCATAAAACTGTATCTCCTAATGTTGCTCCATTACTTTATGGATTAGACCTTCAGGTTGAAGGCTTGGGTTGTGGCCCCCTGAGAAAAACGCTTTGTTCGATTTGGGCTCCCAGACGATATTCCAGCCGTCACAGAAATCAAATAGTTTGTGTGCCTCATCTGTATTTGGTGCCTCCTTGTGCCAATGTTTATATGTTTAAATAATAAATACTATTAAATAAACATATGCTTACTAAGTTACATATGTCAAGTTGGTAGTTATTACCTCCCATTCATTCATTTTTGAGTTTTTGTAATATTTTTATTTTTCTTTATCTAGTCACTTCAAATATTCAACTTTTTCATTCTTCATGGTGACAAATTTCTTCAATCGCCTGACGTTTATGATAACTTATATTATGAACTAATACGTATGCATTTACTTGTTGAGAATCTTTATGAATATTGTAAGTTTGAATAGTTTTATGTACATTGTCCGCTTACACAGATTATTATCAATATTGTCATAAATAACCGTTCTGTGTTATTGTTGATTTCAGCTAGAGTCATGGAGATTTGTAGAGATTGTAGTTTGTTCACAGTTGAATTCACGAGTCCAATCTATCGGTTGTGTGACAGTTATTCACCTCAGACAATGGATGAAGAGTTGCACAAGATCATGGATCGATTGAAGCTAGACATTAACACCTTTAGATACCGACTCAGTGGTCTAGAGGTTAAGCGTTTGCGCGCGAGACCGAAGGTCCCACACATGGGATCGTGGATGCGCACTTCTCAGGAGCCCCATACTAGGACGAAAAGACCATCCATTAATTCCAACTTTTCAATGGTGGTCTAGCCTAGATTGACTCGTGAATTCAGATCGGTGTATCAATTGTGTGGTTTTTATTTTAGGAATATGTCTCAAGATTATGCAGTTCCATTTACATCGGCATAATTCACTTAATCTATAAATAAACTTTAGTATAATCCCTTAACACACGGATATTGAACTTGAATATATGCTACACATACATTAGAAATATTTGTGTAAATCTTCTTTGTTTATGAAGAAAATTAATATCAGGAAAACTACTCACCATCCGAATAGTGATCACAATGATAATTATGATCACTATTTCATGTTTACCTATGACTGGTTTCTAAAGTTTTTTGAAGCTCCATTGGAAGGTCGCAACCGTTAGAGTTCAGTCGTTCCGGAAATAATATGTAATACCTGCGTATGTCTCATTCTAATGACTGTTTAAATATATGCGGTGAATGTTAATTATAGATTTAATCACAATTAAATACGTTTATCATATTTTTTTTCTCTCATTTTCACATTCTTTTTTCATGCGTACATAGCTCTTCAACATTCAACTAGTACTAACATGGAGATTAAAGATGCTGCATCTTGTGTTGTACTTCAATTAAGCACTCTACGGTATGTGTTATGTAAAATATTTACAAAATTGGTTAGTTGTTAGTTGTTTCATTATTTATTAATAGTTCTCTGATTTACTATCTTTATTTGTGCGCTTTATTCCCCTTTATATATAATTGAATGCTTTCTTTTCTTTTACAGATCGATTGTTAATCATTTCAACGCTAAAATTGCTTCATTCTCAACATTAAATAATGTGACTTCTCTTACAGAGAATCAGGTAAATTCTTGTTCGTATATATATTGAAGGATTGTTGAAATAACATTACTCTCTCCGTTCTTGTACCTTATAACATATAAAGCTTGTCGTGAGTTAGTTGATGCTGATATACAGTCTTCATATTCATGAGCCTAACCGCCTACTTCAGTAAAAATAGTGGGAATGAAAATGGGAGTCTATAGGTCACCCGAATCGATGTGTCTCTGTACTCATTCATCTGCATATATATGTCTGTCCCTTCGAAAATTAGGCCACTGATTGTGTATTGTCTTGTACCTTGGAAGTACAAGCTATTTCTTAGCCAATAACGTCCACGACCAATTTGTGATTGACCTAATGTATCGACGGAAATCTTTTTTGTTACCTGCTTTTACTCAGTTAAACTTGAGAAAATTTAAGTGCTTTACTGTATTACACAAACTGCTGAGTATTTCAAAGTTACTAGTTACTTATTAGCAGAGATGAATGGTGACTAGCAGTAGAATCCAAGATACGCTTTTTGTCTTGCTTGAGGCTCGCCAGCTGGATGTGCCTGCATCTCGGAGTTGATGTCCACTCCAAGACTCTAACTTAATACCGCTTGCCCCAAAAAACGATCGCATTTTCCACATATCTACTGAATCAAGACAGCCACTAGCTTGTGCAATAGGATGAAGTTTACTTATTACTTATTATTTTCATATAGTTCATGCAGTAGTACCAAAAGTTACGTACTTCATAATTCGCTTACACAGCCATAATCGGTCGTAGTTAAAAACTCACTTTGCTGTCAATTTTATCATTATTAAAAATAAATCGTAGCTAGAAGATATTGTTTCAGTATTTATAGTTAAACGGTTTTACAGTTCTTCATTATTATAAAGTTCAAGCACATTTAATTACAAGTAATCTACATTTTCTTAAGATAATTACTACTGAGATTACATTTAAACTCATTTTATTTATTTATACTTATCCTAATATTGAATCCAATTTTCACTTTCAATAAATCTTATAATCAGTTGGCTGGTGGGTAGTAATATTTATCTTAATTTTTCACTGCTGACTGATTTCTGTCGAGATGTTTAGTGGTTACAGTTAGATGACAAGGGAACCCTGAACCTGGGTTTCGTGCTAGTTGGCAATCCGTACCTGTTATCATGAAGTAACGGATGCTCTCTAGTAATGTATGTATGCAAAACCTTCAGAATATAGGATTCAAAAAAAGACCTCAAATCTTGTGCCATCAAAATAACTTCAATCTGTACCAAGTTTATATCATAAATTACCCACCTAGTACAATTCAAGTTCTATCTCACTATCTCTATTGCAACTACTTCACTTCCAAGATTGATCCCAAAACAACTGTAACTTTTCAAGTGGTATAAACCAATTACTAAACTAAATCTCATTAGTCTGTATCATGAATTAAATGAAAATTATTTTGAATTAAATGTATTTGCTTATTCTAACAAAACTAACTAAAAAAATATCTTTTTATTGAGATATTCATATCATTGAATATTCATTTGTTGTTCTAATCTACAATAATAATAACATAACTAATGATACTACTAGTACTACTACTACTACTAATAATAATAATAATAATAATACCTATTACTGTTACTATGTTGACGAATACCATTCTTGTTACAACTACTTAAGTGACTTATTTCGACTATCAGTGACATATATAGTTTAAAGAAATAGAGTTTATGTGAAAGAGATTCACTGCTTCACTTCGATCAAGTATAGTAATTATGATTCTTTCTATTCTATGTAATCTAATCAATTGTTAAACGGATATTGGTTATGTCCTTTTTTTAATTTATTTATTTACTTATTATAGATATGTTTATATACAGTTGTTTATATCATTAATGAAAAACGGTATACATACATTAACACATACATACAGATACTAATTTACTTATTATTTTTGACAATTTGAGTTAAAGAGAAAGAGTATCTGGTTCTATATTTCATGTTGTATCTAAGTAGTTACCAGTTTGTGTTTTATGTAGGTGTATAAGATGAGTTAATTACATTTTTCATAATTCAGATAAAAGCAAATATGTATCGGTTTCAACATTAATAGTTAATTGATAAGTTAAAATCAACTTAAGATTATGAATGATATTTACATTGTTTGCTTAGTAGTCTCAGTTATAAACTCTGTTATTTTAATTTGTTTAGCCTTATAGTACCTCTCTATCTATCACACTTAAGTTATGACTAAAAGTAGAGTACGTGGATTTTTACATGAGTGCCATTATTATTATTATTATTATTATTATTATTATTATTATTATCAAGAGTATAATAATAATAATAATCATACGCTCACTCACTGGTCACTGACTTTGAGAAGTAAATTCAGGAGTTCTAGTGAGAAGCAGTGACCAGTGAAGTTCAAACCATATCTGTTGTGAGATATCAACTCCCTGAAGACAATTGGTGAACGGTTGTTTAACTTCGTGGATTGGTCAATGGTCTATCGGTTCAGTGCTCTGGCGCGAGACTGGTAGGTCCTTGGTTCGAATCTCGCAAGGCGGTATGGTGAATGCGCACTGCTGAGGAGTCCCATAATGGGACGAAACGGCCGTCCAGTACTTCCAGGTTTTCCATGGTGGTCTAGCTTCGATTGACTTATGCTTTCAACTATGAAAAATAACAGTACAAAATTACAAATAATTAAATATATTAATGGAAATAACGAAGTTTCAGTAAGTGAATGATTATAAAAAGAAAATATTTCGACCTCAAGCTACTATCATGCATAATTTCTATTCATTGGTATAGGTTTACTTATGGACTAAATCATTTGGGCTTAATTTTACCTAGTTGATTCAGATCAATAATTAGTGAGTGAGCCCGTTAACTAGAATGACATTTTTGTTATTATGTTATAGTTACACCCTTTCCTCAGAAAATCTTAAACTCTTTTTCTTTAATATAAATCTTCCTTACTAATCAATATCATACTTTTAAAAAAGGAATTACTCAAATGCTTTTGAATGTATTCAAGATATTGTGTGTAAACGCTTTGTCAATGTAATGTAATTACATCTTTATTGCGTTTGCTCTGAAAATTAATGACAGATTAAAGTCTTTGTCTTAACTAGTGTTTGATGTTAGATGGTTGGAGTTAGTGAAGAAGGAACTTTGGAACCCAAATTATGTTCTAGTAGGTGTTTGCCATTATAAAACCTGCCACCAATAATTCATACTAGTTACTTTCATTTCTGTGTCACTATGTCTATTCATTCAAAGGATAATCACACTATAAGTATATTGATACAATGTGTTTGGTATGAAAGACTAATCGATAACATGACAATTATTATGTAACGATCACATCCATTCATAACATTAACATTATAAATTAAGATTTTATTATCTACTGATGACAATTATTCAGTAATGAATATCATTTTTAATATGCCCGAATGTTTATACATTAAATAACAAATTTATCATTTTGGCTTGTTTGTTTATTATCCTCTCAATAGGTTTTAGACATTGTTCGAGCCAATTATGATTCATTGACATTAAGATTTTTAGAAAATTTAGATAAAATTGAAGAGTTTGAGAATGAAAATGAAGATTCAATAATGTTTCATAATATTGTAAGTATTTATTGATTTGTTCTGTTTGTTTTTTTTCTCTTTGTTAAAATAAGGTCGTTTTTATTAAAATTCTTTTGAAAATCTTGAAAATAAAATCATTATTGAATAAACAGAGATAGATAGCGGCTAGTAGTGGAATGTCGGATGCGCATTTTGTCCTGTTTGGGGCTCGTTAGTTGAATGTACTTACATCCCAGTGTTGACATTCGCTCTGAGACTTGAAACTAATACCATTCGCTTCAAACGCCATCGCGTTATCCACTTAGCCACTTATTCTAAACATTGTTTGAAAAGTATTTACAATTGTTCTGAGAAAATACTTTCCAGCATGAAAAACATTGAAATTTCTTTCGGCTAATTTTCTTTCCAAAAAAAAATTGTAGAATCTGATTTAATTGGTTAAGATTGACATTTATTTATAATATTAACGTTTTCTCCTTAAGTCTTTGAAGATCTAATGTCATTAGTAACCTGTTACTAAACCAACTTTGGACATGAAACTTTTCTCATAGTTCCCCTTCGTGTTATCATTCAACGTTCATTCATAGTAGGTGTTGAGAATCGAAAAGTCTAATCAAAAGTTTGAAGTGTCTCTGAGGTACAGAATTAAACGAAATGTAAGTCATAGCTTCACTATAGATATTCTGTTAAGTTTTTTGTTGTATGATCCTATTCAACTACAGTATGCACTTCCTATTTTATACTAAACTGACTATACAATACAAATAACTGAAATCACTAGGTAGCTCTAATTAGTAAACCAAATAAATAGGTACATGAGTCTAATGTAAAAATATTTACGATTGCTCATTTGATCTTAACAGTGAAATATAGATTAAAACCTTGAAGTCATGTGCTTGACATTTACCTGATTCAATAGAGTACCTTATTTGTAATTTCGCACCTACCATTTAGTCATGATATGGTTTCTTTTACCTACAAAAACAAATATTATTCCTATATTCTTCTAGACTATCATGAATCTAATCTGTTCAATTTATTCATGTATACAATTCTAATTCTTATTAGACATATAATTAAATCAACTTTTCAGTTAATATTCTATAATCGTGTAAGGATTTGAGCTACAATTACCATTAGCCTTTAATACTGTAACTAGATGTGAAAAATTAATTGTCATTGTAGCAATAGGAGTTAATGTGTCAGTTTTACAGTCTGATGTTTTTGTAGGTATCAATGCCTAGGTTGGACTTGATATTTTCAAATAAATTGAGCATTTGGTGGTGTTACGTCCTTAGTTTATACGATTGTTGCGAAATACAATTGTTAATTTAGATACGCTTACTTGTATGATCCAACTAATGTCACATACACTAGTACGAGCATCCTAAAGATACGATTTGTTCTTTTGCACCTAGCTCTGCCTGTTAATTTCTGAACTCCGATCTCAGCCTTCGTGATACCAATCATATATTTCAAACATATTGGGTTTATATACAAACAAATCAGACCACATCACACCATAAAATAGAAAATAACATTTGTGCAAGAGCAAGCCAAAAGTGTCTGTGATCGTGAGTAACTGTGACTAATAAATTAGGAATATCTCATTAATAATAAATCGTATAATAATAGTCGATAAGTCAGATGAAAGTTTATAATGAAAGGAATATGAATATACATATATTATAGCTACGTAATAGTCATATAATAAGAATATTCGTATAATATTAGTCCATAAGTAATTCCCAACGATTACCACTCATTTATTTATTTTCCTCCGGATACATAACAGGCAGAAGTTAATGATAAACATTTTTTTCGTTATGATCTGAATAAGTAGAAAAGTTGTACTTCTGATGTTTCATGGTTTAATGTAAGTCACTTCTTCAGAGTATATAAACAACCGAATTAAATTAACACTAGTTTTCTTTGTACTATTCAAACTTGTGTTAATTTAATGCCCGTTATTTATATGTTCTGAAGAAGTGGTCTACATTAAGTCGCGTAACCACAAAAATACAATTTTTCTACTCAATAAGATAAACGAAAACTATACTTACTATTTATAATCTAATGGTTGTGGACACGGAAAGTCCCATCTAGGGGAGTTGGAAAATCCTGATTCAAAACCAATGGTGCACATAGGCTCCAGTATCCTGAGTTAACAAATGGCATATGAATCAATCGTTGGTCACAGGCTACCATAGAACTGCATCTCCTTACGATGCTTCACTGCATTGTGGCCCAGACCTTTAGGTCAAAGGCTCAGGGTGTGGCCACCTAAGAAAACCCCCCTGCTTCAGTTTGGGCACCTGGGCAATATCATAGCCCTCACACAAATCAAATGAGATTTGTGTAGCGCATATATATCTGTTGTCCCTTTGTAGCAATATTTATGTGTTTAAATAAATTAAATGCATAAAGTATTGCAATCATTGGATTTTTTCTGTTCTGCATTTTTTTACAGTCTCTTTTTGATTTTTCTCTTGGCTAATATACACCATTAATGTGTTCTATTCATTTTTTGCTCATTCTAATTTTTCATACTTTTTATCAACCGATTGGCTGAATGGAAAAATTACACACATCACCAATCTAGATTGAATCGATCAGTAAACAAATACGTAAAGATTGTTTGGATTCAAGTTTGGATATACAAAATCAATTACATGAATTATCATCAATACCATGAAGTAACTAATGTAAGACGAAATATACAACTATAATAATATAAATGTGAATATTTTCTTAAAAAAAAGAAAAACATAACAACAATGAATGACATTTCCAAATGTTTTAGGACAAAAAATGAGAAGGGATTTATATTTGTTGTTTGTTTTTTTTTCTTTTATGTCTTTCATAATTTCGTTTCTCTCTTTGTATGATGTTCTTTTGTAGTTCGACAAACATTCTGGTTAAGGGGGGAGTAATAACTTTTTTGTATATTTATCAAACTCAATAACCTTATATTATCTAACAATATTTATATTGTTATAATCCCTTGACACATTGTATACTTTTGTTTTCTTATCTAACTCATGGTTATGCTGTTTTTGATTTGTTTGTTTGTTTATCTTATACATTTGTTCTTTGACTTTGTCATTGTTTTTCTATATTCGATTTTTGTTCGTATTTTTTTATTTTCCTATAATCTGAATTTGTACGTAAAACCTGTTGAGATGCTTGTCAACAAATTATCTTCATACAAATAACCATTTCCAAAATATCCCTATTTATGTTTTCTATTTTTTATCATGTCTTGTTATGTTTTCATCTATGCACGCTACTACTACTACTATTCTAATATGATCATAATGATTCATTCGATAAATATTAATCATCATATTCTAATTTTGCATAACATGTTTGTTTACTGTGAATATCTAAGTAGTATATGCAAACATATCATTGGAGTAATTAGATTGTGTTTGCTATGGTAAATGACAAACTTACTGGATTATTTATTTTCAATATTTGTTTATACTGTTGTTTATTTGCAAGTAGTATAGATTATTGTACATGTTAAGTTGATATTCAGCTGTATACATATTTTTAATAAATTATTCTATTGTAAAAGTTTCGTGTTAACTTTTCTGTTCGTCTTGATTATTCAGTTTAAAGATAGTTCTAGAAATTTGTGTACAATTTTCACGCATGTATGTATCTTAATCCATGTATTGTTTCAAAAGTAGTAAGTTGTAAAAAGGAAAACCATAGAAACAAAAGATGATACATTTAAGTTTGCAAGGAAGTTGTACAATCGAGTAAATGAATATCCTCGTCATTCATGTTTTCATGGAATACAATGAAATTATTTGATTTATTGTAGATTCGTTGCAAACAGTTTGTAGAATACGTCATGCAGGTATTTCTACATATACATGGTTGGTCAAAATCAATGAATCTCTTCATGGTCAAGGCCTGAAATTAAAACTTCAAGATATTTATTTTTTCGTACTGTGGCTAAGTACTAACTTAATAGTTACTGTAATCGTTTTTTAGTAAGCAACATAATTTAACATTCAGGAACCATACAGATCATTTATGAAGAGTACATATTGCAACGTTATGATATTTTTGTAGGCTTCGAGTTATGCTTGTAGTTTGCATCAATCAAAGATAACACCACTGACAAAGATGTTGAATGACTCTTTTCATGACTTCCTGCTAAATCTCAATTTCTTGAATTTTTAAATACATCCTTCTGATAAATGCTAATAAATTTATAATGAAAGCTATTAACCAGTTACCGATTGTCTTTAACTATACTCCTTCACATCATTTTCATTTGGGATACTTCGGGTGCAGGACAACTGTGAGTACCCTGCACATAACATCGTATCATCGCCACCTTTAATCACATAAATGAGCGGTATTGGTGATCAGAACAATAGACCTTCAATCATTAAATCATAAGTTAATAGAAAGTTACAGAGTAATACTTTTCGTTGAAATGGTACTTAATATGCATTTCATATCATCCAACAGCCATTTGTTACTGTTGGAAACCACACTTAAACTATATTATTATTTCCACTTTCCATAAATAACTTTCACATACTGACGACAAGGTTGAAGATAGACTTCTGAATTCCTAGTACAAAGTGGAGTTAACCAAGTTGAATGTAGTTTTAATTCACCACCAACATTGTGGATCATACTATATCCTGACATGAAGATCATTAGATTTTAGTCTGCTGGCCTATACTGTACTTACTCTCTGTTATATCTATGGGTCCAGGTTTCAATCACTTATATTGTTTTTGAATCTCACACTGTGATAAATCACCAGTCAAATCACGTTCTATTGGTTTGTCGATCGATGTTATTTTCATATTGGTGACAAAAATTATCTTCATATTAAATCTCCACATGAAATTTTAATAAATTTTATTTGACTTCATACATAATGTCAGAAAGAAAAAAAAAAGTTTTCAATTATTTATACTGTTTCATTGTACATTAGACTACTCAATATTTGAAGATTAATTATTATTCAAAAAAATTTTAATAGTTGAGATCATGAATCGATTGGAGCTAGACCACCATAGAAAATCTGAAAGCTCAGTGGTCTAGAGGTTAAGCGCTCGCACGCGAATCTGATAGGTCCTGAGTTTGAATCTCGCTAGGCGGGATCGTGGATGCGCACTGCTGAGGAGTTCCGCAATAGGACGAAACGGCCACTCAGTGCTTCCAGGTTTTCCATGGTGGTCTAGCTTGGATTGATTCATGATCTCAACTATCAAAATTACTATAATATCCACAAAATCTCTTTTGATAATAGTCAACATATGCTCACCAGTGACTGGTTACAAGGAATATTTCCTAGAGTTCTAGTGAGAAACAGTGACCAGTGGCGTTCAACTAGGTCTGTTGTGAGATAGTAACTCACTGAAGACATTGTTGTATGCATCGCTCAATTTTGTGGATCGGTTGAAGTTAGACAATAACACCGTTGGATGCCGACTCAGTGGTCTAGAGGTTAAGTGCTCACGCGCGAAACTGATAGGTCTTTGGTTCAGATGTCGCGAGGTGGGATCATGGATACCCATTGCTGAGGAATCTCACAATAGGACGAAACGGCCGTTCAATGCTTCCAGACTTTCCACGGGTGTCTAGCTTCAATTGATTCATTATCTCAGCCATTAAAATTACTATTATATCCACAAAACCCCTTCAAAGATTTTGACAATTTTAATAATGTAAAGTTTTTCATCTTTATAACATACTAATTAATAACAGTTGTATCCTAGTTGACAACGACAACAAAAACACTAACAACGTCTCTTCATTTCTTATTCTTTCCTAATTTCTGTTTCTATGCCTAGTTTAATTGTGAAATCATTTTGATTAATTTTTTTTTTTTCATTTATAATATAATACATTAATACATATTCATGAGAATAATCATAATTTTGTATAGAATATTCATATACTTATATACATATATGGATATATGTTTTATGCATAGGGGATACAACTTGTTTCCAGGTTTCAAAAATGTCAATTAAATTATTATAATTTTAAGAAATGTCTATTAATGATTTTTCTTTTCTAACCCTTTTGTAACTACTTTATTTATTTATTGATTTATTACTTTTATTTGAAATGATTAATTTCTAATCTATTAAGTAGTATTGTAGTGAAGAAGAACACGAATGGGAACAATTGAATGTATTTAAGTACAAATTACAAAACTATCTTACTAAGATTTGATAATCATTCAGCAAACAGTTAATTTGCAAAACAACAATCAATTGTCTCAGTCTTCACTGTTCCTTCTGAAAATATCTGTTAGAGGGACATTGATTGGATTAAAGCATGTTTCATGCATGATGGTGTTGCTGCGCACTGATTGACTAATTCTAAGCCAATTAGCCCTGGCAAATTATTGGAGAAAAATCTAGAAGCTTCTTTTGTATATACTATAAATATATGAACGTTATTAAAACAAGTGATTGCTGCTCACCTACCATTGTTATTTTTGAATACAATTTCATTCCTGTTCAACGTGTTCTGATTTTAGGGTCTTGTTGAGTGTCATCGTATAAGAATATTAGGCAATAGGAATAGCTGGGTCCTTTATTAGCAAAAATACGATTATAACAATATCAGACCATTTTCTCTAATTCCATTGTTCATGCATTTTCTTACCAATTGCACTCCATTTCAGTTCTTTCCTTATCGGTCTTCTGTCAAAATACATTCTATGTCTGACTATCTCCATATACTACTATCCGGTCGCCTGGTAATAGTGTCCACTAATGACATGTATTTCAATGCTTATTAGCTTAGTGAAATTCTCCTTAATTGGTGTCACGCTTTGATCGAAAATAAATAAACTCAAGCAATGACCGCGAATATCTTTATACCTATTGGTTTAGAACGCAGTCTTCTTCTAGTCCGGTGGTTAATATGAAATCGGACACAGCGAGCAATTAAAACTTACTACCATCACAACGTAAACATTTATGAACGTCCATACGTTAATTGTCAAACTACAACATACCCCAAATAAGTAACCATAACTTGTATGCAATCAATCCATAAAGAATAGAAGGCGAAGCAATAAGTGAGTAGTTAATTGAGAATAATTCATGGAAAATATAACACATCTGTAGTTCATATTACTGACTAATAAGATCATGCCCTGGTATGTCCAAGAGTGTGAATAGTCATCTTCCTTTCTTAAAATGCTCTGACAAGCGTATGCAGCCACTGTCAGGGAAAACCTACTCACGGCGAAAGTGTTGTTTACGAAATTGACACGATGAAAAGGGAACGTCCGGTGCTTTAGCCGTGTTGGTGGGTGTGGAGGATCCACCTAGGGGAGATGGAAAACCCTGATTCCAAACCGGTGGTGCCCATGGGCTCCAGGATCCCAAGGAAAAAAATGGCGTATGAAACTATTGTTGGTCACCGACTACCATGGAATTGACCCTTCAAAGTCGCTTACTCACTTGTGTATTAGATCTTACTTAAAATGTACAAAGTCTGTATTTCGCTTTTTGATATCTTGTATAAGAGTAGAAATATGAAAATACTGCGAACATAGGTATACAGGAAGATCTCTCTTCATGATATCGTATTATCAAAACCAGAATACATTTACAAAACGCAAAATATTTTATAAACAGTCAATTTCAGATTTTCATCTCAGTTTCCATATATTGAATACTTTCGATGTTAACT